GAAGAAAAGGGAAAGGGAAGACATACATAGGCAGCTCGTAACATCCATTTACATTGTGTGCAGAATTGGATTGTGATGCGTGGGAGGTGTACTTTTGCTGTGGCAACGGAGGTCTTTTTCTGGGGTTCGGGGGTTGTCATTTTTGACTTTGTTTTTCTGGGTTGGGAATTGGAGGATTTAGTTCTGGAGGAGTTGGATTTTTGGTCAATTTGCCTTTGTTTTTTTCGCCCGTTTCTTTGGTGGGTGGTTTGGTGGTGGGGTGGTGATTTGATCTACTATGGACCGGATTGATATGGATAGGAAGGCAGGTCAATGGCGGCGGATGATGTCAGCGGCGGGTGGAGTGTGCAAAAGATGACCTGAGGCTCTTTTTAAGGTGGATTTTATTCACGGCGGACGCTGATTTGCTCAATGGGGTCGTTTTCTCTTGGTTTATGCAGCCTGTTTGCTCCGGGGCTGCTGGTACTGGGTCGAATGCTTACGATAGTGCTTACTGCATATACAATTGGAGGTGGTGCATCTTGCGCTGCAGCTCCCGGGATTTGAATCAGTCGTGTCGGTATTATAGTTGGTTCAAGACCACCAAATCTATGATACAAGAAGGACCATCAAATCTGACGCCAGGACGTCACATCGTCCCTCCGAGGATTTGTGGTGATTTTCTTTTGAAATCTGAGAGAGGGGGATAAAAAAGGGAGAAGGAAAAAAAGAGCCCACACCATCCATAACAGCAGAACATAGGAAATATCAAGGAATCAAAGATATCACTGGGAAGAAATGGGCATACTGCCAAGGCTAGAAAGGGAATTTTCAACACATCAAGGCACAAATAGCTCAGAGAAAAAAAAAGTAAGAGGAAAAAAAAAGAGAGACGTCGCGTATCGAAGTGCATCGTGGTCATCAACAGCGGATCCCATGGGCAAATGCGACCGTACACTTCCCCGTCGTCAGCGTCCGAAGTTCATGCAAGTCCAGCGCGTGTTTCCTTCGGGGGCTGAGCAGCCTCACGAGCACCCAGAAATCCCGCGCCTCCCCGCTGATCGGTTGTCGGTACGTGGTCCTGGTCGTGGCGAGTGGGTAGCGATGCGACGTTTCCAAAGGTCAAAAAGAGGTATTGAGAAGAATAAGATTAGGTAGTAGAAGGTGATGTCGTAGCGTTCGAGGGTACAATGGACCGCTTGGTGGCGAGTCCAGCTTAGTTAATGACGTGGATCCTTTACATGACCGTGCAACAGCCTCCCTGCTGCTGAGGGGCGTATGGGTCATCGCGTTTGTCGACCTGGGAGGAGGTGGGTTAGTTTCCTTGATTTTATTTCGATCGCACGAGCTAGACGCGGAGTCCCTCGTGGAGGGGAGATTTGATGTCGCATACCTGACCCCATACGGAAGGTACCATAAAGTCGCGAGTGTTGTTGCAGTAGTTAATCAGCCTGTTCCAGTCAAGACGGATGGTATCAGTATCCGTCGGTCGCACACGAGGGGGAGAACGAGTGGTAATTGGGAACGACGTACGACATCGCAGCCTCGGACACTTTGACCCGGGGACGGTCCAGGTCTTCCTTCAGACGAGCATTGAGTTCTGTCAATCGTCGATACTTCAAATCGGCCACACTTTGCTTCTTGTTCTTCACATCCCCTCCCGATCGAAGCTCGTAGGCAGGCATCGTGGCAGATTAAGTTGTTCTTGTTTCTTTTTTTTTTTTATATATCTTAATCTTTTTTTTTGTGCTATCGGGACGATTGAGGTGTGAATTAACTATATGCGCGCACACACACACACACGGGAAGGGGAAGGGGGGGTTTGTGTGGGTTGGACCGGTAAGTAGGAAGAGAATGTGGTCAAGTAAGGTTCGCGCGTCGAGCCGAGTGAGTAAGGGGAAGAGAAGGCGGACCGACCACAAGGGAGAGGCTGCGGTTATGGTGGGAGGAAATTAAATTATGAGCGAGAGAACGACTTTCCAATATTACTTTGGGGGGGGGGGGGTTTCAACGGAGAGAACGACCGAATAGGCTGACCCGGAAATAATTGCTTAAGTGGAAATAAAAGAATAAAGAAGAAGAAAAGTAAAAAACGAAGCAAAAAGGCGAGTCCCCCGAGACAAGGATTAGAACTTGGGAAAGAGTGACAAGTCGAGAGGCTAAGAAAGAGGAGAAAGAAAAGGGAAATGAAGAATTGGGTGGTCTGTGAGGCGACCTTTGAACTTTGGTTTTGGGGGGGAAGATCTCGGATGTTGGTTTTTAATTAACTAACCAACTCCTCCCCTCTCACCCTCTGCTCAGCTTTGTTTTCTTCTTCTTCCCCCTGAACCTGGAAAAAATGGAGTAAAATATAACTAGTCTAGCTAGTCACTTAGCCTCATTAGTCAGTGTATCTCCCCTAGTAAAAAAAAAACAACCACCACCAAAACAAAAAAAAAAAAAAAAAAAAGGCGGATGATCGATGCCGAAAAAGTAGTCAAATTTGGGAACAGATCATCCGATTGTCTATTCATCGAAGCTCTTGAGAAGGATGACCGAAACTCATTGGACTAATAGTTCCTCTTGTTATGATTCTGATTGATCTTACGTCCGCTTCTGTATTACATTCCTCATTGAATGTCTCTCGCATGGACGTTTCCATCCCCTCACGTGGTCTCAATGTTACCGTACCATACACCACACGTGATGACAGGCCATTGATGCTCTATTTCATGGTCTAATTCATGGGAGGTCGGTCATTGCCCGTTCTGCAGACTGGATGATGACTTGTACCAAGTACTCGACAGGATCCAGGCCCGACCGAGTACATACGACCAAGTGGTTCCCCAGCTGACGGATCATGGAGATGGACCCAATCCCTCTCTGGTGGAAGGCGACCCCATTGTTCTCCAGCCGGCGTATTGTCCGAGTCCGAGCTTCTTCCAGGATATCAGAATGGCTCCAGGCTCACGAACCACCCGGGGCTCAATCCCCATTCCCTGACAGAAATATAGCCAGGGATTAGGCCCTTCGTTTAGTTCCAGTCTAGATTGCATATTTATACCATGATATGGAGTGAGGTATCACGCGGCGTCGCTCTGACTCCCCTTCATATCACGTGACATAGATCGCTTAACCGAAGTGGGAAGCCCTTCGGCCTGTTTTTTGAATTCTCGCACAACGCCCGCCAGAGCCCAAAGATCCCTCCCCAACCGACGTTGAAGGGCCGTCGCGTGGCAGTGTATTCGCAAATAGGGACTTTATCGCTTTCGACACTTGTTGCCCGCCGTTGTCGAGCGAAATCCACCTTTTTTCGCCCCTCGAACCCCAGACGTGTGCCGTTTTTGCCATAATTCGATAGGAATCGCTTATCCCGAAGCATTCGTCGCCCATCATGCCGCCGCCTCCTCATATCAAGCCCGAAAATGTCCTGAAGGTGAGTGGGACCTTCTGCTGCGATGGACATAGATGCAGAATTATGACGGTCGCGGATAAAGGAGATGTTTGATGGAAACTAACGTTGGCGTTTTTGCTCGTCTTAAGAGGGCTCAGGAACTTATCGCCGTGGGCCAGGCCCCCGCCGCCCTTAATGTCCTTCACGAACATGTCACCTCCAAGAGGACGCGCAGCAGCCCCATCGCTTCGCTGGAACCGGTTATGCTACTTTTTGTCGAGCTGTGCGTGGATCTTCGCAAGGGAAAGGCCGCCAAGGATGGATTGTATCAATATAAGAACATCGCTCAGAACACCAATGTGGCCACTATCGAGGTACGCGAACCATGGGCGATCGGAGGTGGATAGGGTAGAAGCTTACAGGTTGTGTGTATTTGCAGGTCGTCCTCAAGAAGTTCATCGAACTCGCCGAGAAGAAGGTGACCGAAGCCCAAGCCAAGGCCGATGAGATCCAGTCCTCGTTGGAATCTGCCGCCCCCTCGACCAATGTGGAGGACTTGGAAGCCATCGAAACCCCCGAGACCATCCTCCTCGCCACTGTTTCCGGTGAGCAGTCCCGTGATCGTACGGACCGTGCCGTCGTGACCCCATGGCTCAAATTCCTTTGGGAGACCTACCGGACCGTTCTGGAAATCTTGAAGAACAATGCTCGTCTCGAGGTTATGTACCAGACTACCGCTCTCCAGGCCTTCCAGTTCTGCCTGAAATACACCCGCAAGACGGAATTCCGCAGGCTCTGTGAGCTCCTCCGGAACCATGTGCAGAACGCTGCCAAGTATTCCACTCAGATGCACGCGATCAACCTGAGCGATCCCGATACTCTTCAGCGCCATTTGGATACCCGTTTCCAGCAGTTGAATGTGGCCGTGGAGTTGGAACTCTGGCAGGAGGCTTTCCGCAGCATTGAGGACATCCACACCCTTCTGAGCCTCAGCAAGCGCCCGGCCAAGAACGTCATGATGGCCAACTACTACGAGAAGCTGGCTCGCATCTTCCTGGTTAGCGAGAACTATCTTTTCCACGCCGCTGCCTGGAGCCGCTACTACAACCTCCTCCGCCAGTCCGCTGCCGCCCTCGCTGCCGGTCAGGGTACCAAGAAGGAGAACCCTTCTGTTACTGATGCCGACATGACCAAGGCCGCCTCTTTCGTCCTCTTGTCTGCTCTTGCCATTCCCGTGATCAGCACCTCTCGCTCTCGTGGCGCCTTGGTCGATGTGGATGAGGTTCGCAAGAACAAGAACACTCGCCTCACCAACCTGCTGGGTATGGCCCAGTCCCCCACCCGTGCGGTCCTCTTCAAGGATGCTCTCAACAAGGGACTGCTGAATCGTGTTCGTCCTGAGATCCGTGACCTCTACAACATCCTTGAGGTCGACTTCCATCCCCTGTCCATCTGCAAGAAGATTACTCCTATCCTCAAGCAGATTGGCGCTGATCCCGAGATGGAGAAGTACGTTGTGCCTCTCCAGCAGGTCATTCTGACCCGTCTCTTCCAGCAGCTGTCTCAGGTTTATGAGTCGGTTTCGCTGAAGTTCGTGTACGAGCTGGCCCAGTTCCCCGACCCCTTCCAGGTCACCCCCGCCATGATCGAGAAGTTCATCATGAACGGCTGCAAGAAGGGCGATCTTGCCATTCGGGTGGACCACATCTCGGGTGTTCTTACCTTTGATACCGACGTATTCTCGTCTGCGAAGGCCCTGCACTCTGGCAGCGCCGCTGGATCTGCGGAAAGCGAGGTGGGCTCGGTGCAGCGTATGCAGAATACTCCTGCTGAAATCGCCCGCCTGCAGCTCACCCGTCTCGCCAAGACTCTTCATGTTTCGTGCATGTATGTCGATCCCTCGTACACCGAGGCTCGTCTGCAAGCCAAGCAGGCGGCCCAGGCCCGCGCTGCTGCCGGTGCTGCCAAGGAGCATGAGGAGACCTTGGCTCGCCGTGTCGTTATCGACAAGAAGAAGGAGGCCGCCACTGACGCTCTGCAGCGTAAGCAGAGAGAGGAGGAGACCCGCAAGCGGATCCGTACCCAGCAGCTCCAGGAGGCTGAGAAGCAGCGTCTGCTTGATGAACAGCGCGAGCGCGAGAAGAAGCGCATCAAGGATGAGCAGGATCGTATCCGGGAGCAGGAACTCAAGAAGCAAATCGAGGAGTTGAAGAGCGGAGTGAAGGGCATTGACCTCAGCGAAGTTGATCTCAAGGACCTCGATGCTAACCGCCTCCGTGCGATGAAGCTTGCCCAGCTCGAGAAGGAGAAGAACGAGCTCAACGATCGTATTCGCACCACTGGTAAGCGTATTGACCATCTGGAGCGTGCTTTCCGTCGCGAAGAGTTGAAACACATTCCTGCCGACTATGAGGCACAGAAGAAGCACGATATGGAGCTCTACGAGGCCATGAAGGCCGATACCTTGAAGGAGGCTGAGGACAAGCACAAGGAGGCCGTTGCTCTCAAGCACCGTCTCAGCCGTCTGGTACCTGTGTTCAACACCTTCCGCAAGGATGTCTCCGAGAAGCGTCACGAGGAGTTCGAGAGGCGCCGCAAGGCTGCCGAGAGAGACTTCGAGGCCAAGAAGAAGCAACGTATCAAGGAAGTACAGGACCGTAGGCGCCGTGAGAGGGCTGAGCGTGAGGAAGCTGAACGTCGCGAGAAGGAGGAGGAGGAACGTATCAAGCGTGAGGAAGAAGAGCGTGCTGCCAAGGAGGAAGAGCGCAGACGTGTTCTGGCCGAGGAGAAGGCCAAGCGCGAAGAGGAGAGAAAGTGAGTGCACAGTTTTGACCCCTGGTGTCGTCGTATTTTGTCGACGTTGAAGAAATGTTGCTAACCTCATTCACAGGAAACTCGATGAGGTTGCCCTTAAACAGAAGCAGCGCGAAGAGGAGGCCGAAGCCCGTCGTGCTTCCCGGAAAGCCGGTGTTCCAGAGCCGCCCACTCGTGCAGAGCCTGAACGGACTGCTCCTCGTCTCAACCTGGCTCCTCGCACTGGTGGCGGACCTAGCTGGAGAGAGCGTCAGGCCGCCAAGGATTCCACCGGCGGTGCTCCTGAGCCTGCCAAGGAAGAGCCTGCTGCTGCCCAGCCTCCCCGCAGGACCGGCGGCTACGTGCCTCCTCATCTCCGCTCTGGTTCTTCAGCTGCCCCCGCTGCTGCCCCTTCTAACGGCGCTGCACCAAGCCGCTACGTGCCCCCTAGTGCTCGCGAGTCCGGTTCCTCCACTCCCCCCTCTCGTACGCAAACCCCCGCTACTACTTCTGAGGAGCCTAAGAGCGCTGGAAAGTGGGTGCCTCGGTGGAAGCAGCAACAAGGCCAGTAAATAATTCACGTCGTTTGAAAAGTTTCTTGGAATGTTGAAAGGATGTGTTGCTTTTACAATTTCTCCCTTTTTATCCTCTCTTACCCTCATGTTCGCATTGTCTCCTCCACGGTATCACTTACCTTGTTTCTATGATGATCGCTGAGACTCCAGGGACATCTTTTAATCTGGTCCCTAGATAGTCTCTCATGTTCACCAAATGCATTTATGTTCCATTAAATGAAGTCTTCACCACCTTCTTTTCTGTCATGTCTGACAGCTACTTGGATGATTAATGCAGAAGCTATGAGTCTCTTTCTTTCACCGTATATGATTTCACCTTTTCGCTTTTTGTTGAAACTCGTGCCAATGGGTAATTGGTGGCGTATGATGTCTAATTCATGTTGATTTGACTTGACACTCTTACCTACCTTTCATAGACATTTTGTAGATTTATTCGAGAATTGTCACGACTATGCTAGTCCTAGTAACTGAGTAGCGTACTTGGCTTGGTTATTTCCTTGCATGGGCACTTTCCGTTAGGTTACTCATAGCATTCTTTGTTTATCTGGTGTGTCCTTTTAAACGCCTTACTGTACAAAGCAGAAATTACCTGGTAAAGGAAATGTATCTCGACCTGCGAAGAGAAAGAAAAGGAGCAACAAAGAGGATTGAACAAGATCAGATGTCGGATCTAATGGGCCGCGATTGGCAGGGTAAGTACTTCAAAACAGGAGATAGATAGGGTGGATGTATGTATGTCTGGTTGTCTCATGCAGTATTTATGTTGAGAATAGGATCAGAACAAAGGAATGAGTGCACGACGTGAATGAAGATCTATATACTTGAAAAGGAATAGTCAAAAGTCAACGTAAAAAGGGGTATGTCGCAGCCTCTAATATTTCGCGGATCATTCATATGTTGAGGCGATGTTATCGTGAGAATTTCCGTCTGGAAGCGATACTGAGAGCCACAGATGGGAAAGAACGAAGAACAACAAAAGTCGTAAATTTGGTTTTAAGCAGCGGCAGCGGCAGCGGCAGCTTCTGCACTGGCAGCTCCGAAGAGTCTCTCCCTCCATTCTCCGCATACGGCTTCGAAGCCGCTGACGACGTCTCCGCACTCGCGCCCGGCTTCCCGGTCTCGGAGACGGCGATCCCAATCGCCTTTCTCGATCCACCGGGTGCCCTCCTCGCGACCCTCTTCTTCACGGCGGAGTTCGGAGACCAGTTCGCGCGCGGATCGGAGTCTTCGAGAGGCGGTGGCTGTTAGCTGGCGCGATTCGTAAAGCGTATCGCTTAAGCTTTGTAAGGAGAGCGTGATTTCGGATGTTTGCGAAACGAGTGATTGGAGGGAATAGAGCGGGTTAAGAGCGGGTGAGTGAGAGGGTGTTGCGGGTCCTGATGAGTGACGGGATTGGACCGGGAAAGGATAAGGGAGGTTGGGTAAGAGCTCGTCGTCGATCAGAGGGATGAGGGAGTCTATAGCATCTTCGGAGAGAAGAGGGAAAGGAGAGAAAAGGAGAGGGTGAGTGAGTGTTTGGAGAGTCCGAGTTTGGTGGGTGAGATGTGAGGTAATGGAAGAGTGTGCTGTGATAAGTCTGTGCGGAGAGACCGAAATCAGTATAATTACTTCACAAAAGCAAATCAGCCTGGGCGACTGAAGCAAGGCCATACCTCATAGCATTGTTTTCGATCCCACTCTGTCCACCAAGATCTCGAAGCGCCTCAACAACGCGAGCAATGGCGTGATCACTCTCACTCCCATTGTTTTCCAGTCCCCGCCGAGCTAAGCTCTCAACCTCCGCCATCTGCATCTCTAGACTTGGCGAGATGTCCGCCGCTTCCTCTAGGTCCGAGTCGGGGCCGTAGTCTGAACCGTCATATTGTGATTCGGTTCGGCGATGTCGATGGCCACCATTCCGAGTCTTGGGTTTTGGAGGCTGCAGAGAAGCACGCTCGGACGAATAACCTGACGACGGCGTCCCGGTTCCCATGTGATAGCCGTCCTCTGAGTCGCTGCGATCCATATGTTGCGAATCCGCAGGGATATGTTCGACCTCCTGTCCTGACGCATACCCATAGCCGCCCTCGTCCTGCTCCCAAGCATCGGCCAGTTCGTCTGCAAGGTTTCCCAATCCACTCCCACCTATATCCGCAGCACTGCTAAAATCACCCGACATTCTATAATGAGATCCGTTTATGCTTTGCGCATGGTGTCCGCGGGCCGGAGATGACGGGGCTGAAAAGCGAGGAGACATAGGCGACCTTGGAGGACTATGAGAGAAACCATTTGGAGCATATGTGCCCGGAGAAATGGGGTCAAAGTCGATGCTGGATTGAGACTGATTATGGCGGTGAGACAGCCTCAGGGGAGATGGTGGGATGGACGGCATGGTTCGACCCCAGCCAGTTGGATGGATAATCGGAAAAAGAGAAGGTTGGAAAAGAAAGACTACAGGTGTCACTCTGTCAACGGCTTAATATTGCAGACCGAACGAGCCGTTGGAAATTGCAGCTGCAAGGGTCCCTCCGATGATGGTCTCGGAACGTGACCAGGGGGTGCGGCGCGGAGAGGGAGGGGGGAAAGTAAAGTAAAAAGGATGTCAACAATAATCGGTCAACCGCATCACCAGGACGCTCAAGGAAATATATGTACAAAGGAGAGACAAAAGTTCAAGCTCTGTACCTCAAAAAGCAAATCAGGATATTTACCAGTGACAATGATGCGAGGGAGTGAAAGAATAAGACGACAGCGTGAAGCAAAATAAGGGAAAGTCGAGTCCGTCCAAATCACCAACCAGAGCGGCATTTTTCCCGTGACCGCCGAAGCCCCAATTGGGCTGATGGCTTCTTTCCCCACGGCGGAGCTTCAATTCAATTAATTACCTTCCCAACAATAATTTCCCCCCATATTCCTCTGTTTCTATATAATCTATCACTAATTACCTATTCTTAACCATCCACTTATATTCACTTTCCATTCCATACTGACCACACCACAATGAGTTCCATCCGGCGCATGTCCCCGACGGACCTACTCTCCCTCAACCTGACGAATCTCGACCCATTGACGGAGAACTATGACCTGGGCTTCTACCTCAATTACCTCATGCGGTGGCCTTCCCTCTTCAGCAGTGTCCAAGACCGCCGAGAAGGCATCGTCGGTTACAGTACGTGAAAGGAATAGCCATAATACTTGTTCCATGGCACCCAGATTTAGATTCTGGGCCCCACTACATATCGCATATGCATGTCGCTAACGTGGCGCCATCCACATAACAGTCATGGGAAAGACCGAAGAACAACACCCATCCATGCGTCACTCTGAACACTATACTCCCTGGCACGGCCATATCACCGTCTTGACAGTGGCACCCGCATGGCGTCGGCTTGGCCACGCTCGCCGTCTCACGGAGAGACTCGAGCGTGGATCCGACATCAACGACGCCTGGTTTGTCGATCTGTATGTCCGATCTGGGAATAAGATAGCGGTGGATATGTATAAGGGAATGGGGTGAGTATCGCGCGGTCCAGTGTGCATGTCGCAAATTTTGCAAGGCTGACAAGGGCTCGTACAATAGATACTCTGTATTCCGGCGAGTGGTGAATTACTATAGTGATGATCCGACGGGAATGTCGGATTCCGGTGAAGACGCATTTGATATGCGGAAACCATGCTCTCGAGATAAGAATCTACAACATGTTCGGGAGAATGGGGAGGATTTCCTTGTTAGTCCGGAGGATGTTTCATAGAGTCCCTGGTCTGGTTCGATGTTTGCTTGGGTGTGTGCATATTAAAAGTGCGGTATATTTTAGCATTCAGGTGTTTCGGTGTTATCTTCGATCTTCTGTCTCTTTTTTGTTGCTCTTGCATTCAGGATTCTTTGCAGTGCTTCGCGCTCTGTTAGATAATGTTGACGTAAATGTGGACGGAATGAAGAAAGCTGCATCGAGTGGAACATATGCTCTAGGAATATTTGGCGCTTAAAATACTGTAGCGTCAAAAGTATTGAAATTCTGGTCTATCTATTCGACATTAAATTATGTATAAACATGCAAAATTAAATGCAAGTATCTATGAAAGCATGCGACTTTTTTGAGGCCCAAAACTCCAGCCTCCCGGCATAATGCAATGACTTCGTGTGGTGAAATATTATTCAATCGATACAATCTGCTCAACTTGGGGTGTACCGCTAGGGGCTGACTCTGCAACTGGCGTTCTCGATGAATGCTCATTGAAAAATGAGCCTCAGTGGAAGTATAGAAACCCTGAGAAGGGACGCTGATAGCTCGAATGGCTGTAGGCCTGATAGGAAGTGTCATAGCCCCTGAGTTTAGGCTTTAACAGCAAGATGGAAGCCAGTGCGCGACAGTCTCAGCGCAGCAAAAATCGACGAAGCCGTGATAAGACAGCAGGCAGTAAAAAGTTGGACACCAAGATACTTATGGGTGCTGTCCAGAATGGCACCGCCGATTGGTGTTCCGATTAACAGTCCGAACGAAGTGGTTGAAAAGACCATGCCCAAGCGTGTTCCCAAGTTACGGATATCTTTGGTCATGCTAGCCATGACCACTGGGGGCAGCGAAACGAAGCCACCGGAAGTGAGACCATATAGAATGGCCAAGACGATGATACCGGGGACGTTGTGTACACCAATCCAGGCAAAGGCAAGAATAGCGGTAGCGGTAGCGGCAGGGGTGAGCACGTTCAAAGGGCCGGTATGGTCGGCAACGAAGTTGGGCAAGATTCGTCCAAAGGTGGACCCAGCGTTCAGCATGGCAAGAAGATAGAAACCCAGGTTGGAGTCGACGATCCCAGTCTGGATGGCGTAGGACTGGACGTAGAATAAGAAGTTGTAGAATCCCAAAAAGCCCATAAACATAGCGAGGGAAAACATGACAAATTGCGGTTCCTTGTACGCTGAAAGTTGAAACAGCTTACGTTTCTCCTTAGGCTGGAAGCGCATTCGCATGAGGCAACATGAGATACAGCAGGTTCCGAAACAAAGGAACCCCACCGCACGCGTAGCCCACTCGAACCCAACCCTCTCCTGCAGTTGATTGAACATTATTGGGTAGATCACGCCTCCAATACTGCTTCCCGAGGCAGCCAGTCCATTGGCCAAACCTCTCTTCTTTTGGAAGTACTGAGGTAGAATGGCGACCGAGGGGACGAACAGACAGCCGGCTGATAGCCCGATAACGACCCCTTGTGCGAGGATTAGGTGCCAGAACTTGGAGGATAGACTAGTCATCATAAGGCCAAATGGCAGCCCAACGGTCCCGAACGTGATAAGGCCACGGAAATAGCCTGCATCGAATAGGGGGCCAGTCACGACTCCGAACAACATGAGAAGGAACGACTGCAAAGATCCAATCCAGGCAATTGAGTCTGAAGACATGCCGGACAAGAAGCTCTGCTCATAGTACGTTTGGAATGCACCCCAAGTGTTGATGACACCCCTAAAATATGACGAAGTTAGCGAGTTGCCTCTCAAAGGAGACATGTCCAAGTGAATCGCACGACGTATGCATGGTACATACCAAGAATTGAAGAACAGGAAGAATGAGCCAAGGACTTGCAGCCAGGTATTCAACCCCGTGTCGAAAGTTGGCTCTTCTTCGGCTTTCCCTCCAGAAGAAGAGTCCGACAAGTCGGACGTCTGTTCGCTGCCATTATGCAGATTGTTGCCTGCCCCGGGATCCACGATAACCTTCTCTTCGATATCAGCATCCGTACCCATTTTGGCAGCGGCTCGCTTGTGGTTAGACAGCCCTTCTGCGAATGCAGAAACACATAGAAGACACAAGCAAGGACGGGAGGGTGAGATAGACACGCACAACGACGCTGTGGTCAAGTTTGGGGAGGCGCTCTTCGACAAAGTCTGGCAGACCAATAGTAATGCTACCCCAAAAAGATAAGCGAAGAGGAAACTACAGTGGTCTGAGACCGGAAAAGCGGAGATTTATAAATTGGCATTACCATTTCTCAGCGCCTTTTGTCTCAGCGGGCCGATAGTAGGCTAAGCTCGCGCACCAGGTTAAACCCAGGGCCGGTGGAGACTCTCGGGGAGGCGGTCCACAATCACGGGTCCCATCCTTCAAGAAAGCCAGAAAAAATTGCGAGAAAAGTAGCCTAGAACAAAGAAATTTGTTAGTGACCCATCGGTGGAATGCACCCTACTGGCTAACAACTGCATTACCGAGTACACACTACACAGGGCGTCAACCACTGCACGACGCATTGCCGACGGCGACGGCCATACCCTATGCTGAATCTTCAATCCTGATGTATCGGCTGCAAGGCTACCCCAAGTGCTAGTATTTAGAATGCCCAACACCTGAGCTTCAGACCGATGATGATAGAGACCTGTAAGTTTTCATGAGGTTCCACCATTGATTGGCTCAAGGACGAGTGGTCGGCAGTCACCGCATCAAACGTCTAGCCGAGTAGTGCGACGACGTGCCGATTATCCAGCGGGGAAGGAGACCATATTATTAATCCATGTCACATTCAATCTTTCAAAGGATGATCTTTCAGGAATCTTGGCTGTCTTGGTATCAATTGGCTCAGCCCATATGAACCGTATATCGGCCCAAAAAAGGAGGTGGGCGAAATTAAGGTCCTTTTCCATGAGTCACGACCCAGTGGAGTCTGCGGAGTTCCCATTTCACCTCCGAGCAATAAACCTGTATTGATACGGAGAAGCCCTAAATCTCCACGTGGGGGGGGGGGATGATGCGGCCTTATCGATTGATATCTGCATGAAGGCCATTATCGGCCATCTGGCGCTCAGGGACCTCCGTACAATAAGCAGCGATGTAACGAGGTCTACTGTATAAGAATGTGGGGGGAACTTTAAAAATCCTTGATCGCCTGTTTAACGCCTTTTGCATCGTTTGACATGATCGGATTTTGATCCGGCCCCGGAACATCTCCCACCCGGCGCAGACCCTAAAACGGCCTCAAATCAATGTACATACATAGTTCGCTCCTAAGTCCTGTCACCTTCCTCTCCATCGAGTCTATACCTAGTTCGATGTCTCCACTACCTTTTACATTAGGGTAACTTTATCGAGCTTGGCTCTGCACCGCTTCGAAGCCAAGCCGCGGTGTATGGCCCAAACAACCAACGCTCACTGCAAAGCAGTATGACATCAGTCCTGAGTTATGGTAGACTAGATAGAGACAATCCAGGCTGCCCAGCCGATATTTTACGGTCGTCAGACCCGACACTAATGGGGTATAGTGGATAGAAGCTGTCAAGAATAGAAATGTGTGATACTTTCCGAAATTGAACGCTGTGATGCCCTTCAGAAACCTTCAACCATTCGGGGCGGAATCACCTATATCAAAGCATGTGGAGCTTAGAAGCCAATCCTTCTGAGTGAATACCCACAAGGGTTTCAATGGCCCTAATGTCTGGTCCCGCTAATCTCATAAAACGAGTACTGTACAGGCAGTCATGTCTCGTCGTGAAGTGCCCATGACCACGGGTTGCACAGGCGAGATGTAGAAATAGTTGTGGTACTTTCGTGAATGTAGCAAACTGGTCATCATTAATCGGGATGATAAGTGTCAACGCGCGTCTAAAATTACTTTATAGTAGCATGGTAGGATCCTATGGAAAGCAACAGCGTCAACATCAAAACTATTTTTTCTTTTTCTATATTGCAATAAACTGTACTGCGTTATCGTTTTGTGGGTTTTTTTCCCTTCCCAGTGACCTAGGCTGGCTAGCCATTATGGTCCGCTTTCCTACTCCAAAACTCCAAACGCTATGCTGCACACAAGGAATGAAAGAACGTACATGATAATAGAAAGAGCCCAATTTCCAATACGCAGCCGCCCATTCCATCTTTTTATTTAGAGTAATTCTTCACATGTCCAGTCCTCGTACCTAAATGAGAGAAACAACAGTCAGACCCGACTCTGGAAGGCTAGGGGATCAAAATGCCGCTTACCATCCATCGGGCAGATATCTTCTCACAATGAGGGGAATTTTCTTCTGGTTCAGTTCCTTGATGGCGATCTGCAAGGGATCTGTCTCTCCTTCAAGATCCACAAGCACAGGGGCGTTCATACTAGAAATATGTCAGAACAATAATTCCCCACGTTCAGGAAATACTCGTCTATGACCCACCTAATTTGCAAGGCCCTGGTGCCCAGAACACGCGCCCGCTCATACTTGGTCATGTATGGGGTTGTCGTGCGCTGGTCGTTTGGCACCTTCCTTTCCCGCACTTGCTCCATCACTTTCCCCGAGTATCCGGCGCTGGGATCGCCCGAAACGACAACACGATCTCCATTGACTGCGGGAGTGTAGTGATCCTCTCCGTATGCTTCTGCGCCTTCCACGCCCTCGATGTCCTCAGGGTTCAAGAAGTCTTCGGGCTCATTGTCATCGTAGTCCTGACCGGCGTCGAAGTCATAGCTAGAAAAGTGTTAAACCAGAAGAACTTCTATTGAAACAACCATCCGGCAAAGAGATCATGTTTGGCGCATCCTCTTCTCTTTGCGCTAGCTATAGGTTGCTGTGGAGAAATGGCTTCTTACTTGTCCTCGTCACCGTGGTCACCGTAGTCAGACATTGTGCCTGTTTAAACGCAAAGGAACGCGGGAAAGATGGAGAACAAGTGCCACACAAGCGAATGAAGTGCCGATACGGAGTCCCGGACGATCTGGGGTGAAGCGATTGATGTTGCGACGGAGCTTCCGAGTGAAGAATTCGATATCGCGACTCGAGAAGGCGGCGGAAAAAGTTCCTTAGGCACTAGTCCCTTTTGGGAGTTTAGTCTCACCGCTTTAACGGCATTTTCCGGCAAAATTTAACGATAAGCAATCTTAAATAAAATTTATTGTCGTTTCAACTGTTGCTCTCTGATCAAATTATTGTCCTAAATGAAATCATAGGCTTGGAGGCAGTAACCCTGGTGCTCCTGAGCTATGGGTCAAAAAAGAAAGGCCTCGGAAGGCTTTGATACGCCCAAGAAGATCCTCAAGCAGACGGCGCTGGATGATACCGGTAAGGAAGCTCCCTTCCGGCCTTCAGAATCATTGGAAGACTAAGCATTATTAAATGGATGTAGACCCAATCTATGAGGAAGCTCATTCCGATTGCGATTACGCGTCGTCAGATGAAGGGAGTATAGATAGCAATAGCCTTCATGAAACCCCGGCAACTCCCATCTCAACAATCTCAGCCAGGTACCCTTCCGAGCTGAAGACTCACCGCTGCCCTTTTGACGGATGCACAAAGGCCTTCAATCGCCCAGCCCGCCTCCAGGAACATCTCCGTTCGCATAATAATGAACGGCTCTTCAATTGTACCCACGATAATTGTGATAAGACATTTTTGCGAGCTTCGCATCTGAACCATCATATCAAGAGCGCTCACACCGGAGTTCGAGATTATGTATGTGACCGGCCAGGGTGTGGGAAGAGTTTTGTAACCGGGTCCCGTCTTCGTCGCCATCTGGCTGCCCATGATGGAAAAGAAAAGTACCGTTGTACGGAATATCCCCCTTGCAATGAAACCTTCCGAAAGCACTCGACCCTCCAGAAGCATATAACGACCGTTCACTTGAAGCGAAAACCATTCCAATGCCCGCATATTGACCCAAGTACTGGTCTGAAATGCTCTATGGCTTTTGACACCGCTGGTCACTTGCGAGCGCATGAGAGTAGAGTTCACACAGAGAAGCGGTTCAGCTGCACAGAGTGCTCGCAGCATCTGGAAGTAACCGACCCGCCCTCAGATAATCCTTCGGCTGGCTTATCCGCAGTGACTTTCCCTACCTATGCTCTTCTTCAGGCTCACATTAAAACTGCGCATCCCCCACAATGCTCTAACTGTTCTATCACCTGTTCGACAGCCCGTGAACTACGTCGGCATCTCGAAGTCGCACACGGCGATGTGAGTCTCGAAGAACGGAAAGTATTTCCGTGTGTAGTCCCCGGGTGCGATCGAAGTTTCACGAAGAAGGGGAACTTGACGGTCCATATCCGGACCGTCCACCAAGGCGAGAAACGGTTCGTCTGTGGCGAGACAGACCTCTCGAGCTCCAAAAAGGTAGCGGGGTGGAGTGGCGATGGATGTGGAAAGCGATACGGAAGCAAACTCGCTCTCGAAGAACATATTCGTACCGCACATCTTGGCTGCCTGAATGCTAAAGCCGAACGACGACAACGTCTTGGTCTTGGTAAAGGACAACAGAATGCTCAAAGCAGACCTACTGGTTTATCAGCGCTGGCCGCTCTGACGGGTGAGGGCTACGCCGAAGAAACAGGTCGCCATATTCCGTGTTTCTTTGATACTTGTGCGCACCGCTTTCACCGCAACTATGACCTTTGGGTGCATATGGGCAGCAAACACAGCTGCACAGAGGACGAGATCCGCGATATGTTCATGCAGCGAGCATTGTTAGCTGAAGACCCAGAGCCTATTACCGGTGATATGCTTGGAATCTACGGGCTTGAGTTTGACAACGATGACCCCTCTTATGAACCGTATATACTAGGGGAAACCTTGGATGCGAGCGCAGAGCTGAGTACAAAGGACGAAAATACCCTTGCGAGCCTGAACCCACCAGACTTCCCCAGTACTCTGGAATTCGACTCCAACTTTATGATGCAAGATGTTGATGTGGAGACATCAAATGCTGATGATATGGCGATGATCGATCCTTTACTAGCGTATGATATGATGGACGCATAGAGATTTCCAACGATAATTTCGGATTCTTCTCATTGGCGATACATAGTGCATGAGGCAGTCTTTTTCATTTTCTATCTTCCACGTTTCTCTCTTACTCTCTTTCTTTCTTTCATCATTCATTCATTCATTCATTCATTTATTCGCGCATATGATACCACAAAAGTACCTTGCAGACTAGCCCAGATAATGAAACATGAGCCCATGTTAATCAGTTTAGGTCATAGAAAAACAAGCTCATGACACTTCCTCTTTCCATATCCCGCCTAATCTGTACAAACCCCAGCTCTCAATAGCCAGGACTCGAACAGAAAACATACAGAGACATTGGGTTGTAGAAATCATTAGCATACACAAACCTACTAACTCCCGCGAAAGAAACCATCTCCATGCGTTTCTACCTAAACAATAGCCATGCTAGACTCCAAATACGAAGCTCAAGCCGCTCTGTGTTGACTCCAGGTGATTTGGTATTGTTAAAGCTATACACGAAATTGGGGAAGCACAAATGAGAAATAGGAGGCAAAGTGATAGAAACAAGATATGGCTATGTAGTCCAGTGAGTTGAGTTTATTTTTCATTTTGCCTCTTTCCTTTTCTTTCATAATATGTTGATGGCTTAATACAGGAATAGTTATGGTGTATTTATGGAACAAAATCTGTTCTCTTTTAACAATGGGGATAGCAGGGTCTGTTCTGGCTGCTGAAAAAACGGATGAACTGTGCATGACCAATATTGAATTGAAGAGGGAGAAGAACTGGCGGGAAGATTTCTGCAGAGAATTGAATGAGATAGAGAAAAGAGAGGCAAAGGCAGAAAGAATCACAATAGACAAGAAAGGGACATGTCAAGTAAACAACCCTGAAATAAACAAACAATCATTCATGGACCATTGTTTGTGTTTGTACTTTCAAAAAAGCCAGGCTCGAGAGGCTGGGTATTTTCCAAATTCTTTTATGAACAAAAAGTTTTTTTTGTTCGCCTCAAGGGTAGGAGGGCTGTGATGTGCAATAGCCACATCAATCTTACCCTCTTGTCGAGCCTTTGGAGTATTTCCTAGGCCTGCTTGCTGTGTTTTGATGTAGCCTGTTTGCTGACACGCCTTTCATGAGCATCTGCCAAGGTGGTTCGTTCTATTGCTCGGGTTAGGGCTGGGACTGTGGCTGGAAGGCGTGTTGGCTGTGGAGCCTCAATCCCGTCCTTCTAGTCAGAAGAGATGGAGCTCAGCTAAACTATTCTGATCCGAGGCAAAGTTATCACGAGAGTAGCTTACCAGATCACTTCCAGGGACCTGCCTTGGGCGAACACCCGTCGGAAACGAAGTCCCAGCCAAGCTTCCCTTAATCGCAACAGTTTGTTCGAGTGTACGCATCTCTTTACGAAACGAGCAACGAGGAGGCGGGGCTTCTGACAGCTTGAAGTTCTCATCAGGCCCTTTATAGAAAGACACGTTTTCTACAAGGTCAGCTGTCAAACTCTGGTTGGATCGCCACACATCACCAAAGTAGTCCGGGTTGCAGCGGGACAAGGCCTCGTCACGGTAGGGGAAAGGTGTAGAGCGACGTGAGCGAACCCCATCTACCGAGATCCTGATCTGAGTAAGATGCTGCAAGTAAGAAATGTAACTGTCATCGGCCCTCGCAGAAGGTTCGTGGATGGTGAAGTGTCTGGCGATATCGCAGAAGAGATGTACGGCCGCCAGTCCTCTTGCCACGCTCAGCCACAGCGCCGTTTTGAGCATCAGGTTGAGAGATACATTGTTGGAATCCTCAGATGGCCAATGAGCCAAATCCCCGGGTTCCGCTTCTTCGGCAGAGGCGCGAGGGATTTTCGGCGACGATGGTGGCAGCCAGCCAGTTGCGCGCGCTTTTGCCGGGTCTGACCTGGCCAGGTGGTTTTTGTAGTATTGATGAAACACGGTAAGCTCGATATCGGACTCTGAAAAGCCGTCCCAGCTCAGCGAAGCCCTGCACGCGCGGAGTCGAATGTCTCTCATGCTCATCATTGCTGCTCGGGCCTGGGATACAGGAAGAGGATTGTAAATGGTCTCTAAGCAGGTTATCAGCTTGATGCTCTGAACTCGCAGGGGCTTATTTACTTACTGTGCTCGTCTTTTGATTTGATTGCTTGGAGAATGTCTTGCTTGAATTCCTCAATGACTTTCACAGACGCCTCAAGTTGCTGGCAGACCTTCACAATATGAGGATATCTGGAGTTCATCCAGTAGACATGTGTAACATCCTCTGCACGCAAAGGTGCCAATAGTTTTCTCAGCATCTCGAACTCGGCACCGAAGAACGTCTCGTCAGTGATACTGGTATTATCTGGATAAGTGATCGCCCAGCGTTTGTAACGCTCACGAAGCCAATTCTCCAAATTTGCCTGGATTCCCTGCATCTTGGCACAGTTCTCGAGCAGAATGATCGACAAGTGAGCATACGATCCGGGGAAAAGATTGTCAGGCAACAGGGGAAGACCGTCCATGACCTCTTTGGCAAAGGAACCGGGGTCGAAGCCTTTGGTGAACTGCTGCATCAGCTCTTCCACTCTCTTTTTTTCGATATCGGTGATCTCTTTCGCTTTCTCATCTGGCAATCCATAGCCCTGGGTATTCGACGGAATGTCAATCACCGAAGCAAACTCATCCTCCTCAGAACGCTCTGGACGGGGTGTAGGGCAAAGTGTGAACAGCTCCATGTTGCATTCCCGATCAATACTCGATGAAAATTGACTTTAGGTCTCAAAGTGCCACATTAAACTATACTTTAATAGAAGATATTCAAAGAGCAGGAGAGCCCATGGAACCAGTAAGCGCAGGTCAGTACTAGAGATATCAGACAAAGTTCTCAGGGCATACCTGGATAGTGAGTCTAGATTGTTATGAGTATTCTTGTGTAAGGTTAATGAAAAGGGATGTCTCTGCTGCATAGTTGTATAAGAGGAGATGAAGAGCTTGATGAAAAACAAACAAGGTCAACACGACAGAGAGAGTGTGGGGTCTATGAAGTGAATGGGAAAGAATCCAGTGAATTCATTAGAACTTGAGATTTTAGGATAAGGCAGTAACAGTGTGTAAATAATCTCATACCCTCACTGCAAGGTTCTCACAATGACAAGCCGCTGAAAGGTTTCTTCCACAAATTAAATAACTCAAGTAGCAAAATAACACATACTTTTGACATGGTGCTTGAGAACAGAGAAATGGAATCTTCTCTCGTGAGTCCTCTATTATAATCACCAGTACATACTATTAGTAGTGATGGGAGGTAAATTGTCTTCGTCAATTCTACTGGTTCTAGTACCTGTGACTTTTCTTTGGAACAAAATACAGTGGGAATTTTACTCACGATCAGGGCAAGCCACACTATCCTGGTATTTTATGGTCAGGCAAGATCAGCGGCGAGCTTATGAATATCTAGTTATCCAGCCTCGAATAAATACAGTAGTAGATTTCTAGTGCAATGTTATCATCAAGGATAAAGGACTAAAAGTATATAGATTTTGATCGCTTCTTAGAATGTACTTTTCACCCCATCAGAGTATTGTTTTCCTCTTGTTTTGTGTAGTCTAGATGTGATATTCATTTCCAAAAGCAGCAATGTGGCTGATCTTCTACTAGTATTGTCTTGTACTTCTAATCTGACCTAGTATTACCTTCAACTCATAGCTATGATGCTAATAAACTGTACTTTCGATTTGAGTACAATGACGAACAGTTTGCAGATTCGACCTTTGGACGATCTTTTTTTTGTGGTAATCATAAATGGAACGGTTGTGATAAAAAAATTCCGTGCACTCCTAAAGGGATGTCAATGGTGGAAAAGGCTTCACAGGATGAAACTTTACAATATTTAGGGTCAGACTCTTTCAGTTACTTCTCGCCCTTGGTCGAATCCAATCACCTGTCTTGAAGTTGATGTTGGTTTTGCACTCACGCAGCACAGAGGGATAGCCACCCGATATAGAGAACAGACATATCCAACTCTTTCCCCGATGATGATCTTTCGGATGTGATATATCACCTGTCATTGAAGAACGAGGTGGGTCTGAAAAGTTGAACGGGTCCGAGCTTTCTGATAGCAGTAGTTGCTAGGTCGAGCGGTGTATTCTACTCGAAGTTCTCGTTAAACTTCCTCGCTATACGAGATAGGTGGAGATTTGCTGCCATGTCAGTGCTTAACGGTGATATAGAGTACGTATTTAGACTATACAAACAGTACCAACGATAGATGTCGTCGCAAGGGCGTAGCGGACACCACGCATCGCTTTCCCTGCATGAAGCCATACATTGTGATTCATATTTTTTCAACCTTTCTATGTGAGCACCGAACCCATCGTGACAGGTGAGTAGCATATAGCAGGGACGGTCGATGACCAACTATACATGCCTTGCATGGAGATACTAAATCAGAAGTATTTACAGGAAACATAATCACCTCGAGCATGTAGAAGGAGTATATTAGATTATAATCATCTGTCCCAGGTCTCACTGGTAAAAATATATATATAAAGACGTTTGTTGTGTTTAGAGCTTTGGGGCCCTTTGTGGTATCGCAGAGAAGTACTTTATCAGGGGTCTCACAATGTTGGCTATTCACTCCAACCAGGAGATTGTAAATGCTTAGGAAGAGCAAGTCATGGTCAGCCGTGTGATACGTAGGTAGTATATGAATGAGCATGATGCAGAGAGATTTAGCGGCTAGTAGTCGCCAGAAGCCTGGGTAAGGGCATAAATTTGGAACCCTTCGAGTATCAATAAAACGACATAATAAATCTGAGACAGATTATGAAGTACTGTGCGCCGTTATTCCGGGGAAGTCCAGGAATATATTGCAACTGGGTCCGAGTGAAGTACGTGTAACATGCATGTATCTCTACTACTAGTACTCCATGGTACTAGTATGTACAGCGACCCTGTTAAGAAGCACGTGGATCCCCGGGGCCACAGGATACGTCGTGGCCAATCTTGCTTGGGAGTACGTAAGGCTACTTCTTTGCATACTGGGTCGCTTGACATTTTTCTAGGTGCCAGTTTGGATATCATCAACGCGGAGTCCAAACTGGGGAGAGGAGCAACATCTCGCTTATCTGATCGTCATCGAACGTGAGCGACTTCACTTACTATGGTAGTATACGATTGAAATTGCGCAATTGATGAACTGTCGATGGGGCAGGGATCTTGTAACATCCAATTGGCTTGAGTTTAATGTAAGTAACTTAAAATGGATCTACTAAGTATATCTCACCTAAAGCTTTGTCTATCATGCGCGAAAGCTACGACGATTTTCTTTTTTTTGTTGGTGGCTGGGGCGGGGTAATATGGAGAGAACAACCCTAAGAGACAGAGGTCTCCACTATACACGATCAGACAAACGGAACAGACAGCGAGACTGTAACCTGTTAGCTCGGGAACAAAGCAGGAAGGAAAGGCGGGAAAAAACAGCAATCCATTGCAAGGTAACGAGGTGAAAGGAAAGCAACCAACATTACGTGGAGAGCATGAAGTACGGTCAACCAAGGTCGTGGGATCCAGCTCCTCCACTTGCTGAGGTCATATCTGCATCGAGATGATCCTTTTGAGCAACGATCGCTGGCCGGAGTGCGCGTCAAGGCCGACATTCCATCCCGGCCGGTCCGCAGGTTTAACTTAAGCGTAGCAGATTCCCAGGGCGGTGGACCTCATACTTTATGTCGTCGTTGCAAATTGCCACAGTGCGCTACCAGCACGTTGTACGCTGTGCCGTCCATGACTTCTTGTCGGCCGGAGAGAACTTTCTTACGATAATACGGACGGTAAAAGTACAAACATACATACGGTCGGACCTATCTAATTAGGCAAAATAGTTAACTAATGTCAGGAGAGACGTGGCTTGTCATCAACATTGAATATATGTTATTCAATGTACTCCGTACAGAGGAAAGGTAATGTTTCGACGGCATTGAACAAGGTATCCGTGGATGCGGCCAGGTACCTTATTGAGGTACGGGGCCTTTTATGTGCCACACACAATCTCCTGGCTGTTCTGCAAGTTGAGATTTAATTGCCACTCGGAGTAAAGGGGTGAAAAGGAGGCTGTCAAAAGGGGAGGGGGTCGAATACAATAGTTTTAGTCTCTAATAAGAATACCTACTTAATATAAATAGCGCTGCATAGTGCCATATTAGTTTTAATGGGAATGTAACCTCCTCCGAAGCACTTGATGTTGTGGCACAGAAGGGATGTGGCAGTGCGCAAGTTCCATACATTGTCTGTCCACTTGGGCAATCATGGTATTTGAAGAGACTGGATACACAACCCTTACCGAGTACAAGCAAATTTACCAGGCCACCCGGGTTACCCCATTCCATCCAAGCCAAGTGCACTGACTACTAATGAGAAAGGGGAATCCTCGATACTAACGACTTAGTAGATATTAGGTGGCCAAACCGATCTTGGCAGCCAAGCCTACGCTGTTTCTCCTCCTCGCCTGTAGAAGGGCGAAGACCGAATAATATGGTAAGGCAAAGAAGGGACGGAACAGGCGCCCGTATCTGTACTGGTACAAAGTAGTCATGTAGTAAGACATGCAGGTCTTAAGTTACTATATTTGGGTTGCAAGAGCGATTTTTGCATTTCTCCGAGTACTCGATTTGGATTTTATAGGCCCGGGTCAATGGCGACAAAACCCCGGGGGGGGGGGGGGGGTTGGGCAGTTGGCCCAGGATACACATACCGTTTGAGATTCGGGGATAGGAGTTACACCTCTGTAAGTGTATATATCATTGGGTGACAGAGTCTAAATTGTATTGATAGTCATCCTGGACCCTCGGTATTCATTGGGTTTTATTTTATTTTATTTTTTTATTTTTTATCTGTGGATGCTAACCTGAAACTGAAAGGAGAGATCGAAAAAAGAAAAGAAAAAACAGAAAGCCTCCTATGAAATTGGTGGGACATGCAGCGTTCTCTGATCCACGCCGATCTTGTTTGATCAATTCGGGGAAGACCAGCAGGGATGATACGCCTTTTTTTTTTCTCTCTTTCTATTTTCCAATTTTTCCCTGTTGGATCTTAAATTTTTTTTTTCCTTTTTTTTTATGTTGAGAAAACAGCCACACATGCGATGACGCCAGCCGCTACCTTTCGGTCTACCCAATCTATTAAAATAAAATAGAATAAGAAATAAAAATAAAATAAAAAATGTTTAGCGGGGACTGAGCCTAGAACCACTCCGGTACGGTAAATTCCATGTATTAGCAATCGAAAGTGGTACTCTGTACATTCATGCAGGCTGCCAATGGATGAATAGTATGTAGGTACATGTACTAAGTGCTTTCTTGCCTCCGTCGCTCTTTTTCTTTGAGAAATTCCTAGGATCCTGGCAACTGATCTTTAATCTTGAATTCCCTCTCCATTGACGTAAATCATGAATAAGTTATGATCTGTTCACCACTGACTCGTTGATTGCATTGCATTGAAAAGAACAGACCCGGTAACAAAACAAAGAGTGCTTCTGTTCCAATTCAAGACCCATTGGTAATTGTGTTACACGCTCACCTCCAGACCCACGTTTCTTTGGTTCGTTTGGATCAGTTTGTAGGAGAAAGGTATCATCATTTCTTTCTACTCTCTCCTCTTGTCGGTTTCTGGTCCGTTGCTCTCTTCCCTCGCTACTTTCGCTTCTTGTCTCTCGCTTGCTTTCCTTTCCTTTACATACTTACGTCGCTATTATCTATTCTTGTCATCCATCTCTTCTTTTCCTACTGGTTGTTGACATCTCCCTCTACCCGCTACCTTCCGCTGGCCAACAGAAAACTGAGACATCCCAGTGTTCAAGTGACTACAGTCAGGCGCTTGCAGTCCGACACCTTGCGCTTCTCCCTCGTCGCCATTCCCAGTTCTTTGTCTGCGGCTTATCGTCATTCGCTTGTGTGGAAGTTTCCAAGGAAACCTCATGGGAGACTGTCTCTCATACCTAACTCGCAAGTAGTGTCGGGGGACCCTGATATTTGGACGTTATCTCCGTGTGGGAGAGATTCGGGTTCACCGACAACGTCGTTTTCCATACTAGTCCCTTTACCTTTCGTTCTGTCCACCCGATCTAAAGACGACTCGGCTCAGTTTCGTCGTCTAGCCACGTTCCCTGTTTATCGTGCGCCAAGCTTGATATCAGGACGACGTGGGAGTTGGTAGCCTTTCTACTTGCACTTCTATTCATACATTACATTTCGACAATATGGTTCGCTCGCGTGGTGAGTCAAATAGCCCCTCGTCCCTCCTTTTTAGGAATGTGAACGGCGACGGTTAACGCCCCTTGCGTTATCAGTGCTATCATTCATATCAGCAATTGGTGGCTCGTCCCGCAAAGATCGTCCTGAACAACGTCATCGGGCATTCTCAGCTTCAGTCGTCGGGAACACGCCTCCGTCAAGAGTCGATACAGATCCACCCTCCCCTCAAGATGCTTCACCAACAGGACTGTCGTCGAACGACCGCCGGATATCGCGGCCTGCGTCAACGATCTTCTCACATGATCCTCCGTTCATAGAAATCTCCCAAGATACCCCTCCAGAGCTCCAGCCAATCTTCACTTTCCTCAATAGTCATGCGAATAAGCTGTACCATGAAGGTTATTTTCTTAAATTGAATGATTTAGATAACCGTGAGTTTTCGGGAAGTATTGGTGGACCAGAATCGCGGCTAATGAATAATGCGCAGATGGCCGACCATGTCCTGATCGACAGTGGGTGGAATGCTATGCACAACTTATCGGGACGGCTCTTTCACTATGGGATGCTGCTGCGCTGGACGCAGCGGGTGAAAAAGAAGGCCCTCCAACATTTATCAACCTGGCGGATGCGTCCATCAAAGTGGTGAGTCTACAATATCTCCGGAACATAGCCTTAAGGTTTCGCCTTGACTGATTTTGCGGCACCGTAGATCGAGACACTACCTACACGGAACTCAGAGACGCCGGCGGTGAAGAATGTTCTAAGTATCTGCTCAGCGGGTCAAAATCGATACCTCCTGCACTTTAACTCCTTCCATTCCCTGATACAATGGACTTCAGCTATCCGCTTATCCTTGTTTGAACATACGTCACTGTACGAGGCATACACTGGCGCAATCATTGCAGGAAAAGGGAAGGGCCTGAACGGTATCCGCACCATTCTCGAGCGCAACCGCTTCAAGCATGAGGATTGGGCTCGTGTGAGATTCGGGGCGGGGACACCTTGGAGGCGGTGTTGGTTTGTTATCACCCCTCCAAATGAAAAAGAATTCCAAAAGGCGCAGAAGTCCCTTAAGAAAAAGTCAGCCTATGACCGGGCACCTAAACTGGTCACAGGAAACATTATGTTCTATGAGACGAAGAAAACGAAGAAAGCAAAGCCGATTGCAACAATCACCGATGCCTACAGTGCTTACGCTATATATCCTCAGTCCGAGGCGCTGATTGACCAATCCACCCTGGTAAAGATTGAGGGAAATGTCACAATTCATTCTCAGCAACAGTCAAGTTCGGAAGGGTTTGTTTTCGTCATGCCAGAGTCACACCCAGCCGTGTCTGGTTTCGAAACAATGATACGGTTCCTGATGCCCACTTTCGACACTTTCAATCTTTACGGACGCCCTACCCGTCTAATTGCCGCTACGAATCACATTAAGAGCATTATGTTCGCGTTCCCGAAACAGCGGCGCTATGGCTATCTGGACATCTTGGACATCGCTAATTTGATGCAAACTGCGGGTAGCCAGAATTGGAGTGAGGCAGAATGGAGGAAGCAGCTGAAGGAGGCGACCGCACGTCGCATGGCAGCTGCTGGCAGCAGAACAAGCAGCATATCCAGCAAACCACGTTTTCGAGCAAGTCTTCCAAGTCGCCACAGCAATGTTCACGCTGGACTTCGTCGAAACGAGACCTTCCCGGAGAGCGAAGCTGGCTACAATCAGTCCACCGATGCGATAGTTCACGAGGAGCCTGACAGTGCAGATTTTTCGCCAACCTATCATGCACGGGGTACTTCAGATACAGCTGGGCTGTCAGCTATCAGAAAGCAGGCACAGGCTTCTATAGTCGAGAGCTCTCCGTCTTCTTCGGCGCGTGACTTAATACAGGCCGGGAACGAACGTCCTAGTACCAACGAGTTCAACGATCAGAGCAGCTCTGATAGTGATTGGAGACAACGTGTAGATTCTCACCCTGTACCTGAAGCTGAAGCTATTCGAGAACATTTCCGGGAGCCTTCTCCTCCCTCACCCGTCTCCAATCCCCCGGCTTTCACTCATGGACCAGGCGAAATGCCCTCAGCGCGGCCTCACCCGTCGCCAGATCTGAGGAAGGCTAATAACAGAATGTCCAACGCGACCCTTGCGCAGCTTGCTGCTGCTTCAGGAAGGATGAATCTGCTCGGCGCCTTTGAAGGCCAGGAAGTCAGAGAGACTGATGATGAAAAGCCTCAAACTCCGACTCCTACCGATTCTTATAAAGCTGAGTTTGAGATGCCAAGTGTTCCTTCCCTGTTATCGGAGTCGAGTGACAAGAGAGGTAGCCCACAGGAACAGGGCCCACCAACACCGGAGCATAGGACCAGTGTATTCGGTCCTCCTCTAGAGAGGCTAAACGAGAGCAACCTTCACATTGATACAGGAAAATCTGTCAGGAGAAAGCCAGTCCCTGGCCAGCAATACAAAGACTCTACCGTATCAAGCCCCATTGAACCTAGCTTTGATGATCTCCGCCATACTGTTGACGAAGAGGCCTTGAATCGTGTCAGCTCTTACCAACCGTCTTTCCCTTCGCCTGTTAGGGAGCGCCACCAGGAGGACGAAAGCGTTTATGATGATGAATCCACGACCTCCCCCGACTACGCCAGTACGCGTGGGTCCGTCTACAGCAAACGTTCTACTAAGTCGATACCTAGACCGAGAATGGGCGTAATGAAGACCGTTGGAACGGAGCCCAGGAAGGATTTGGTTATTGGCGATGCTCACTATTCCGTCGACCAGGCATCGCAGAAACATAACCCTGATATCCCCAGTGTTGATTTCGGTCCAACGATGACTCTCATGCCAACGACTGGGCGTCCGACTACTTCCGATACATTAAAGAAGCTCGGCCACCAGAGGAGTGACTCGGAATCTACCGAAAGACAACGATACCCTCAGATGGACCGTGGTCACTCAAGATCACCAAGCCAGGATGAGTTTCGACGAAGTGTCTTGTGGCAGCCTGGCATGGCCGCCGCGCGTCCAGTCACGCCTGGTCTCACTCCAGAGCAGTTCGTGCAGCAGCGTGCAGCACCCAGCCCACCACTCCATGTACATCACCGGACTTCTTCTGCGACTCCAACAACCCCACCGGCACGGCCTGTATCCGGTGATTGGATGACTCACAACCGATCTCATTCTCAAATGAGTATTGGCAGAGACAGCCAAGGGCGACCACGTTCTCGCGGCGCCAATAGCATGATCAACTATAATGATATCTCGTCTCACCTTTCTGCTCGAGAACAGGAACATGTGGCTCGGATGACAGGTTCATCGTTCTTCAATCTCAGCAGTGGGAACCAAAAACAGCAACAACCGGTTAACCCAATGGGATTAGTTGGTGCCATTGATGCTCGGGAGCGTGAGAAGAAGAGCATCATGGAGGGAATGTCGTCTCACATGGTGCAGCATGCTATCGCCCAGCGTCAACAACAGTGGCAGCAGCATCCGATAGCCCCGGGCAGCTCCTATGGCATCCAAAGTGGTACCCCTAATAGTGTTTACAATATCCCAGCGGCGAGCCACACTTGGGATGCCCTCAATCAATCGTACCGACCCGAGGAGCCCCGACGCCAATCTTGGTATGGGCAACTTCAAACCCCGCAACCTCAGGCGTATCAGCAAAGCCAATATTTCGGCCAGCAATCTGGTCAATTTGCCAATGCGAACGCCCTGCATTATTGATTTCTCTCATTTACCTTTCTACCCTACTTCTTCCATTTAGGATTAACATATTGACACCGTCTCATTTGTACTTTTTTGACCACCCTGAGAGCCGTCGCTGATTTCTTTTTGTTTTATGTTACCCCTTTGAGTTTTTCTTCCTATCCTTTTGATGCGTCCTAGAGCTAGACTTTTGAATCTCCCTCCTGCTCGGAAAAGAGTTGCTGTCTTCCTGGATTCGGTCTTTTACAGCAGTCGCATCGTGCATTTAATGGAGTTGTGAGAATGGGTCTGGCGCTTGGGTTCTTGCTTCGTTCACAAATCGGTCATTGCTCATCAATTATTAGCGATTTTCCCCATGCGATGAAAGGTTCACCTGTTGGGAAGGATCTTTGCTATCTCTATTTCTCATCTCACTCACTCTCTTTTATTTTCTTCTTCGTCTTCTTTCTACTTCTTGCCATCTATATGCATGTAAATATGGGCCTATAACATTTACTGAGCGAGCACAATGCAGGTAGACGATGGATCTCTGCTGAATATATCCTGCGTAGTTCTTTTGACTGATAGTGAAGCGATATTATGCTTCGTACCCAACTCTTGGTACTGGAATTCCGAGACAACATTGCCTTTAGTCATGCAGTTATAACGAACGAGCGAGCGCCTTAGATCAGTGACTTACTCGGTCCAAGGAACCTGTTGCCCCATTTCAGGATCCGGCTGGTTTCCATCTCGATCGAACTCATATACAATCTTGATCTCGATATATCGCACCCTAGATCGAAATCGAGGCCGAGTAGTAAATGACGGCGCTAGGGCCTGGACATGTATTGTCACTTGAGAGGGATTGTTAGAGGTCGGTGGGGGCTGATCGGGATTTAGTGCTTGGGTTTTCGTATAAACTATTCCGTAGATATGAAATAAAATGGCCTACTTGGGCTTGCTCTGCCTAGAGATAACTTGGGTAACCAAAAAAGATGCCATCTAGTCTTCCAGAATTGATAACATTCAATTGGAGGGGCACCGAAAGACTTGAGATACAAAGATGCCAAACACCAAACACTTGCTGCTAAGTATATCACAATATGCACATGGACCCAAACGCCTTGACTGTCAAAATTTCCCCTCCAAACCACCCCCCCCCCCCCCTTTGTTCTTGGGCTCTCTGCTCCAAGCTTCAATGCTCTTATAATTTCTATAGAGGTATGTATCAAAGAAAAAAAAAAATTCTTCTTTTTTTACCTTCTCGGTTCGGGAAGGTCCAGCCTCGCTGTGGACACTCGTATCTAACTCGAATGAATCTTCTTAACCCTCAGAGCACCCTCGTATAGACCACGGTCTAGGGCAGCCGCGACAGTAAGCGTACCACCGATAATGGCGCAGACACCGGTTAAGAACCCAGTGAAAGTCTTGGGCCGTGCCTCCTTGTTAATAACCTTCATGGGGGAGATATCGTAGTTGAAGAAAACACCAGGGATGCCATTTGCAGCATGCAAACGCTCCTTGTGACCTTCATCGCCGGCGTCGCCGCCCCTCAGAGACCGCTTGTGGGAGGTCACCGAGTACTGGTGTGTTTCGATGCTGCTCTGAGAGCCGTATGCAATGCCATGGGTACCCAGTGGAGAATCCTCGTAGGCGCTGTGGACGGCTGAGGAGAACAATGGATCCCAACCCAGCGGCAAATAAGAAGTCGAAACGACCTTGACGAAGTACATAAAATTATATGCGGGATCGCTAGTCTCCTGCTGGGTGCTATCGAGCGGGTTGGTGTGGTGATGGTCGGTCCATTGCCAGCGATCCGACAACTCATCTGGCAACTGGGGACCAAACCGAAGCTGATGGATGATATGGGTCATGGTGTGTTTCTCGGTGTCGGCAAGGTCACCCTCGAAGTAGTTCTCAAGATCATGCACATGGACATTTCCACTCGTGAAACTCCGGCCCGGTGCGATGTGGAAGTTTCCGACCACCTTGTTCACGCGGAGGACACCTTCAAGACGGCAACCCTCTCGGCGCTGGGCGTCCAGACGTTGCGCATAGCCCTCCCGTTCGCATTGTTCAATGTTTTCACCCTTTCCGAATGCCCATTGTTGTTGTGCATAAGCCTCTCGCACCTCCTCACAGGTGTTACAGCACCGCTTCTCGCCGTTAGGCTCTGGGACTCCGCCGCAGTCGCCGCAGTAGTTAGGATCGAGATGCTTCGCCGCTTCTTGCTCCGAGTGACTGCATAGGACGTTTATAAGCCAAACGGCTCGTCTAAAGTGGCGAGATAGAAAAATTTTACTTACAGTTCCAGGGCTTTGACATCAATGACGTGGCCGCCCTCTGCAGGAGAACTCAGGCGTACCTTGTTGATGCCATGCGCTACGCCGGTCTGTTGCTCACCAGAGACATCCATTACATCGAGGGTAAGAAGCTCACATGGGAGCCGGGGGAAGGTCACGTTTAAATGGATCTCCATTTTCTCTCCTATACAGTGAAGTTCACAGGACTCGGTCAGCCTCCCACTCCAACACCATGATCTGTTTAGCTCTTACCTCTCGACTTATCGACTACTAACTCAGGGAGCACCACCACCCGCCTGTAGTCTACCCATTCTCCCCACACAAGCCATAGAATAGCCAGCAGAGAGGCTATGGTAATGATCCCGCCGGAGGTGGTGCGAATGCGAGCATCCTCAACCGTCTTGGCGAAAGCATCGAGCCTCGTGAATCGCGATTTCGCAGGCATCTTTTCGATCGCTCAGCGACCATACGGAAAGGCTACGATAGCCGTAAGGAATGTAAGGGAATTCCTTCAAATCAATTGAAGGAGAGGTAAGCGTTCGGGGGAACAACCTCTATCGGACAGATTAGAACCGTATATAAAGTGGACAAGGTGGCCCGAGCCCAATCGAGTGCTTTGTCTATTACAAACAAAACAATAATTGACTAACTATTAAGAAAGAGAGGATCTGGCTTACCAATTGGTTGAATTCTAAGGTCGAGGAGACCGCCAGTGACAAGCAGATCTGGAGAGTCTTGGACTTTCCCTTGCGGTTCCTGACTTTTGGCAAAGCTGTCCTGATGATAGATTGCATGCATATAATACGAAACTAAACACTTAATGGAACAGCAATCGTCACGGGTAGCGTAATTTACTCCACCCAATTGGCGGCATCGGTATCGTGTATTACCGATTGAGTGCCAGAGGCCAGACTGCAGTCCCTGATTGGCCACAGGGGGCCTCCACTTCATGGGTGCCTGGTAGGCTATCACGTGGATATGCAGGCAATCCACCTCTTCAGTCCTCACGTGACATGACTCTTTTGATTCACGTCACTTTTTCCGCTTGACTTTCTTCTGCCTCATACTGTCCCCTCAAACACCTCACCCGCGAGGTTTGGCTTAATCCTACTTCTTCCATTATATTGAACACCACTGTCTACAATATCTACTTTACCTCTCTTCCTATATCTAACTATCTTCTCTATTGCATGCCGATTAGATCGACCTGAATTTCAGGCGCGCAGCGCTAAGTCCGCCTGAGAGAAGAAAAAAAAGAAAAAGAAAACTATACCAGCCACTACTCTACCCTCGTTACCTACCATTCTCCTCACATTCCGAATATAATTACCACTGCGATCAACATGAAAGGAGGAAAAGGCTCCCGAGGCCGCTCAGGCGGTTCAGATCGCGGGGGTATTCGCAAGAAAGGTGGAGCAAAAAGGGTCGATCGAGATGGTGATTTGGCTATGGACGCAGGCTCTACTCAAGGCCGTGTAAAGAAGGCGCGCGGCGATTCTAGCCGCACGGCAGCTACTGGACCACGGGTCCACACCCGCGATAGGGCACTCGACGCTATCCAAAAGGCTATTTCGAGCAACACAAGTTCTCAGGCGAATATCCGACAAGGTGGCCGAGGCAGCAATCTGGAACAAGTTAGCGTCCGAGGATGGAAGCAGAGCAAGGCAGCATCCAACCGCGACGGTGGTGTTGAAAGTCTAATCACCTTCCTCGAAAAGAAACTCAACTCATCCGACTCGAAAGCTGGCTCCCGCGCAAGGATCACAAAGGTATGTTCAACATCAGATTTGACGGTCACCGACATTATTTCGCAACGTCGTCCTCTCCGGTGTGTTCTCGTTTACAGGAGTGGTACCCCAGAACGACGATCGCAGGCTGTTTTTGGCGTTTGTTCCTCTGGATGACGGCGCAAAAAGGTCTCTTACGCCTTACTAACGTTCACTAGTCGCGGGTTGAAGGCGATACGTTCATAGTATCTATCCGGCCGGAGTTGTTGGACAGGATGTTAAAAATGAATGGTTTCAGTTTTGCAGGAGCACCCCTCACGATTCAGACATATGATCCGTCCGCCAATGGAATGGACCAAACGATGTTATCCGAAGTATCGCGGAGCAGTGGCGCCCCCTCGACCGCCGATACCAAATCTAAGATGACCGCGATCTTGAGCAAACGCTATTTTCAACAGCAGAAATTGCTCAACCTCTCTAAGCTTGGCAGCGACCCGGATCTGTTGGCAATGGGGATCTTCGATAGCACATCTACCGAATCCAAGTTCTTCCCGGCGTTGATGAAAGTATGGGAGATGAATTTTGATAGCTCGACAGCGCGACGCGAGGCTGTGGAGAGTGTCAGCCTTGCCGACAATCAGCTCGCCAATATAACGGTCGTCACGACATTGGCTCAGTCATTCCCCGATTTGAAGAATCTTGATTTATCGAATAATAACTTCAAAGACGCTCAGTCCTTAATTGGATGGAGGTGGAAGTTCCGAAATCTGGAGTTTCTCGACCTCACCGGTACCCCTTTCAGCGCGGATCCTACTTTCAAGGACACCATGCTTAAGTGGTATCCAAAACTTCGATTTTTGAATAATACGGAAGTTCGGACGGTGGAGGAAGTGGCTGCGCAGAAGAAGACACCGATTCCTGTGCAGGCGCCGCATTTCCAGGACGAATCTCAAATCGGAGAGAACTTTGTCAAGGCCTTCTTTGTTGGTTATGACAACAACCGTACTGACCTTCTGAACGGTGTATACGACAACAAGTCCACGTTCTCGCTGAATGTCAATACCACTGCTCCAAGAGCCCAGCAGAGCGAGACTGCGGCCTGGGATCCTTACATCAAGAAGAGTAGGAATCTGCTTAAGATCAATCATCTTCCTGCGAGGATGTCTCGTTCCTTTGTCGGTGCGGATAAAATCCGTGAGATGTGGAACACCCTTCCTCAAACACGACATCCCGACATTGCAGCTCACCCTGAAGAATGGCTTATTGAATGTTTCCCCATCCCTGGGCTACCTGATCCTTCCGGACAGAGCGCGACTGGCGTGGGTGGACTTATTATCATGGTGCATGGAAAATTTGAAGAGATCAATGGACCCAAGGTTGACCTTCGGAGCTTCGACCGGACATTTATCCTTGGACCTGGTGGAGGCATGGGTGGTATTAGGGTGATCAATGATATTCTTTGTCTGCGGGCCCATGGGGGCCATGAAGCATGGATGTTGGAGCAGCCAGTTGTCCAAACAGCCCAACCCGGACAACCTCCTGTCCAAGCACCGGTTGTTCCGGCCACTCCCGATGGTTACGGTATGCCGGCACCAGGCAAACCAGATGCCCAGGTGCAACAAGAACAGTTGGTCATGCAAATAAGCGCTAAAACGGGCATGACCCTACCATACTCTGAAATGGCGCTTTCCGGCAACGGTTGGAATTTGGACGCTGCTTTGAAGAATTTTGTGGAGCTCAAGGTAAGCCCTTCCAGCGCTTGGTCATTTTCTATGGAGGGTTACTAATTCCGTGTAAAGGCTCAGGGACAGCTACCTCCAGACGCTTTCCTGCCCGGAGCTGTCTAGTTCTTATCTGCTTTTTTACATACCCAAAATTTTTGAGTGGAGGAAGCTGTGGTGTTTGCTGGGAGTCTGATTCAACTATTATTGTTCTACTGCATTTCTTGTGTTTGCATGGCTTGGGCGAACGGTTGTGGGTTCTCTGACTTGTTTGAAAGATTTCACCGTATCACATTTATTGAATCTCGAGAGACGACGAAGATCATGTCCTTATAGATAGAAAGGGGAGGGGGATCCATCTGATCACCCCCGTGAGGTCAATATCACTTGCTGGGTCTGCTTCCAACGGGCCAGAAAAACAGCACACAACTTTCACAACTGCCTGTAGGAGAGAAAAAAAAAAAGAAAGAAAAGAAAAGAAAAAAGAGTAAAATAAAATAAAGTAGAGGTAAAGGGAAGATAGTGATATATGATATGGAGGGCGGCGGAGCTAATCTCTCGAGGTCAAGCTTATTTAGACCTATTTATACCTCCCTCCATCAATCAGCCGCGTTTGCGCTAAAGTTGGCTTTCGGCGTTTACAACTTCCCGGACTTGATCGCCAACTTCCCGCAAGACCACTTTTGTCCTCAGCCCTTCCTTGCTGTAATTTTTAGTCTAGCCCTCTAATCTCTCCCTCGTACCCTAACTGAATTGGTGGATGGTCCGGAAATCCCAAACACAGCATGTACTCTAGGTGTAAACTGGAGAACTAATGGAATGTCTACCACAACCTCCTCCTCCAACCACACGCCCTCCAACGGAGCGGCGGATCTCGATCCCCTCGACGCAGGTGAGGTGAACTTCTCAGACGAATCCGTGCCGATTGATTCCCGCTAATACCCAACTTCATTTCATTATGCAATAGCGGACTACGATCCAATTGACCACCTAAATGCTATCTTCTCTCACCCCTCCACGCTGTCCTCCGTCTCCCACGTTTCCCGGTCCCTCCTAGACTACGAAGATGAGCTGGACGACGAGATCGGCGCGTTGGTGGAGGAACAAGTCACATCCAATGCGGAAAGCGTCCAGCGCATACAGGCTGCCCAGGCAGATTTGACGGAGTTATTCAAGAAGATTGACGATGTGCGCGACCGCGCGTCCAAGACGGAGCTAGCCATCACCGAGATGACGGCGGATATCAAACAGCTGGACAATGCAAAGAAGAACCTCACGCAATCCATGACAGCCCTGAAGAGGCTGCAGATGCTGACGACGGCATACGATCAGCTCCGTGTCCTCGGTAAGACAAGGCAGTACCGGGACTGTGCTCAATTACTGCAGGCGGTTATTCAGCTGATGGCGCACTTCAAGTCGTACCGATCCATTGATCAGATCGCTCTTCTCAGTAGAAATGTGGCAGATATACAACGAGAGTTGTTGGAGCAGGTCTGTGAAGACTTTGAGCTGGCGTTTGCTAAGGGTGAAGTGGGACAACAGAGGCTCGTGCTTTCGGAGGGCTGTCTTGTTATGGACGCTTTGGGGGAGCATGCGAAGTCCAGGCTGGTGACCTGGTATTGCAATTTCCAGCTACGGGAGTATCGACAGGTGTTCAGGAATAACGAGGAGGCGGGGTCCTTGGACAACATTTCGCGGAGGTATTCATGGTTCCGTCGTATATTGAAGATCTACGATGAGGAATACGCAGCGATATGGCCGACCTCTTGGAGGGTTGATGAGATCTTGGCGAACATATTTTGTGAAGGAACTCGAGAGGATTTCAAGGGCATTCTTTCCCGGTCCGTGCGAAATGGGCAGACGATCGACGTCAACCTATTACTTTCTTGCTTGCAGGAGACTTTGGATTTTGAGCATACTTTGGAGCGGCGGTTTGTCAATCCATCCCGCCCGTCCACCGACACGTTCACCTCGGCTGAAGCACCTGTCTTTGGCCAGGCCATTTCAGAGGCCTTCGAGCCCTATCTAAGCGTATGGGTTGAAGCTCAAGATAAGCAGTTGGCTACCCTGATACCAAAATATCGACAGCAACCTATCAGACCGCCAGATGAGGAGTTCGATTCTAACATCGTCATAGCGTCCTCCACGGAGCTTTTTACGTTCTACAGACTCTCTCTACAGCAATGTGCGAAACTCTCGACGGGTGGGAGCCTTGCCGACTTGGCCAAAGTCTTCGCAAAGTATCTCGATCAATATGCCCAGCAAGTCCTCTTATACTATATCAGTGAGAGACCCACCGGCACTACTCCATCCAAGGTACCATCTCTGGAGGACCTCATTTCAGTTCTCAACACTGCAGATTACTGCTATACCACCTGCAATCAACTAGAGGAAAAGATCAAAGGAAGGCTCGACAAGAATTTGAAACAATCGGTTGATCTGCAGAGCCAGGCGGATTCATTCATGGGCATTGCATCTGCTGCTGTTCGGTGCCTTGTGCGGATGGTCGAGGTCGAGTTAGAGCCCTCCTGGCGAGAAATGCGCAATACACCTTGGAATCGACTTGAAAGTGTTAGCGATCAGAGCACGTATGTCAGTGAACTCATGACCAAGCTTAACGCCAAGTCCTCCGAGATCCTGCAGTTGCTGCATAAACAACAGTACGCCCGAGCTTTCGCGGATCATGTCGTAGAGCTGATATCAAACGTATTCGTTTCGAATATCTTTCAGTGCAAGCCAGTCTCGGAGACTGGGGCGGAGCAAGTAAGTCATCACCATCCCAAATCACAGTACAAAGTATTGACATCTAACTCTGAATAGATGCTCCTGGACGGATACACCCTCAAAACCGGCCTCTCATCTCTTCTACCAGCTCCCGCTCCAGCAAGCTTCGCGAAGCGTGTCAACAACAGCTTCATGAAGATCGAGACTCTCCTCAAGACCCTCCAAGTCCAACCATCGCCTCCAGAGGCTCTAGTACAAGCATACTTGATCCACATCAAGGACAGCAGCAACACGAACTTCCGCAAGATCCTCGAACTCAAAGGCATCCGCAGTCGACAAGAGCAGAACCAGCTCGTAGAACTCTTCCAGATCCACCGTGCATCAGACCGTCACGCGCCGAACCTTCAGCAAAGCAATCCCATTCTCACAGCCTTTCAAACCACCCCCGCTTCCTCTTCAAACCAAGGGCTGGGACTTGGAACCGCCGCCGCATCAATCGGTGCTTCCAACCTCCCCACCCGTTTCGATCCATCCATGTTGGGCTCTGCCATCATCTCAGCTGCCAAGGACGGTGTCGACCGATTCGGAACTCCTATGTCCTCGACTGGAAACCCCGGCGCAGGTGGTGCCCCAGGATCAACATCCACCACCCCTGTGTCCCCTGGCCCATTCGCACAACTACAGAGCACCGCCGAGAACGCTACTGCAGGCAACCTAAACGAAAATCTGAAAAATATTGGAAAGTTCTTCCGTCGGGACCTGGGTGGATTTGGTGGTCGGTTTGGAAGGAGTGGTGATGATGGTAACTGAAGCAAAGCTAACTTAGGCTTGTTCACTTCTTCTTGTCAGATAGTTTCGCATGTCTTGCTTGTCGAGTATACCAGTTTACTTTTTTTCACTACGACAGATATATACTCTACTTTTATATTGCGTGGTCATAGCGGATAGTCAGGTGCGATGTATGATACCGAATACTTAGATCATTTTTTTGATTTAACATATGATGCTATCTAAGTGTCTGAATTAGGATCCATAACCCCTGCACGACTCTTACCTAGCAGTATATTTCATCTGAGACAGTAAAAGATCCAGCTGGAGAGACTGGGCCCTCGCGCAGCAACACCGTGGTACTACGAATCCAACTCGCGAGACATACTACTACATCACATGTATCTGAATGATCTGCAATCACAGTTAGCAATCCATATTGCTGAAAAGTGTGTAAGATGAGCAAGATAGAAGGGAGGCGGGTCAGCAAAAAATTAGAGTGTTTGTTGTTGCTAGTTTTTGATCTTCAACGCCACAACAGTGACTACGAGTTAAAAAATATCATCATCCGCCAAGGAGTGATGTTCAGGGTAAAGGTAGTGAAGAGTTCAAGAAAGTATATGCTCACCTTAGGTAATTCAAGATAGTGGACCGTATGTCTACGTCCACATCTAGTTGAAATGATAACAAGAAATTGACCACGAGTTTGGTTTCATTTTTTCCAACCGTCAAGGTTGGCTGTGAATGTATCTAAAGCATGGTGGTCGTATCTCGCTCAATGAGACGAGAAGTTTAGTCGAAAAGACCGAAGCCCATGTCATCATCGGACTCCTCCTCCTCTTCCTCCTTCTTCTCCTCAGCAGGAGCGGCACCGCCAGTAGCGGCAGCAGCACCGGCAGCAGGAGCAGCGGCGGCGTACGCATCAGGGTTAGCGATACGGTCCTTGAGCTGCTCGATCTCGGGCCAGCTGATCTCGGTAGAGACAGCAACGGCGAGAACCTTCTTGTAGCTGTTGATAAGGTTGTGGATGACAGCAGGAAGGGTGGGGAATCCAGTGGCCAGAGACAGGCAAGTGACGGTCTGGATGGCGCTGCTGAAAGCGGCAAGCAGCTGCTCCTCCTCGATGTCGAGAACATCGGCACCGAAGGTCTGACCCTCCTGGTAGACCTGGGCGATGGTCATACCGTAGGTGAAGGGAGAGATGTTGAGCATGTTCAGCAGGGTAGCCTCGGAGGGACCGACCTTGCCGCCGGCCTCAACGAGCTTAAGATCGGTGGTAATTTCGATGGTACCACGAGCAATCTTGGTGGGGACACCGAGAGCCTGGAAGAACGAGGTCTTACCGGGTTCCATACCGGTGTTACCAGCAGGAACGAAGACATCGGCAGGAGCGATGGCACCAGCACGAGCAGGGGCAGCGACACGGTTGGCAAGGATCTTCTCCTTGGCGGCCTTAAGGTCACCGTTGGTGAAGATGAAACCAACGTTGCCTGTGACGTGTCAGCGATTAGTCCATGTATACTTTCGATGTCGCTTTATTTAAAGTGCTGTACTAACCCTTGACGTGAGGAAGGAGACGCTCGTACTCAGGGTTGTCGGTGATGAAGCCCTTGATGGCACGGCGAACCTGAAACAATGCGGTCAATTGCGGTGTCAATTGCTTGGGGATTTGGAGATACATACCATGGTGTTCTTACCCATCAGGACAACACCCTCACCACGGAGACTCAGACGAATCTCGTGCATCTGCTGAGAGCTGACATTGTCGACACCGACAATGAAGACCGTCTTGTACTCATCGAGAAGGTTCTTCAGCTTCTCGAAGTAAGCGGCCTTGGTAGCAGACTTGCCCCCCATGTCTCCTTATTTCGGTGAAGATAGGATGTTTAAGGGCAAGGGATAATTCTAAAAGTGTGTTGCTGTCCGATTTGAATCGTGACGTTGAAGATCAAAAGAATCAAAGGAACTTCGAAATTGGGGGATTTTGTTTTCTCTGTGGCTTCGGCTAGCGAGGCAGTCACGTGGTTCTCCGCCCGGCAGAAAAAAAAAATGTCCGCAGATAGGTCAGATAGGGCATGCGCGCGTGCATTTGGTGGTATACTTCTGGAGGGTTATGATATCCATTTAATCCTCCAATAAATTACTGTTTACGCAAGGTAGCTTATGTACTTTACTTGTCGCAGCACCACCATTCACTTTCGCTGCTGTATTTTCTGACGCCACAATATTCGTGGCCGAATCAGCCTTCGCTTTTCTAGCAATCTACGACCAATTATATAAGACATGGCTGCCAACTTCCAACTTCCATTCCAATGCATCCAATATCTGGAGAGACAGTGTGCAGAACCTCAGAGGCTGCTTATTGCGTCATCTGGGGGTAAGATTTACTCCTACACTGCAGAGACCGGACAGCGTCTCTCGTCTTGGCCGCAAGATGTAGATGCAAGCAATGCAAATAACCCCAAGCCAACTGAGACACGGACTGGATCAGAAGACCAAGCACCACCAGAGAAGAAGAGAAAGGTCTCTCTGTCCGAGGATGGACCTGCCGAAACTTCCAAATCGCCTGTCAAGACTCCGGCTTGGTCCAGCATCCCTATTTTAATTGCGCATTCGAACGGAGATTATGTGATTGCACTCACTGCAGAAGATAAGTGCATTCGTGTCCTCCGCTTGAAAGATGATGGCACTTTTGAACAACTAAGTGAAAGGTGAGTCGGTCCTGCCAACTAGACGGAAATTGTGTGCTCACCCTATCTGCAGATGTATGCCGAAGAGGCCCTGTAGTATCGTTCTTACTGATGACGGTAACACAATCCTCTGTGGTGATAAATTCGGCGATGTTTACTCGCTGCCACTTCTTCCCAGCAATGAGCCATATGTGGCGCCAAAGCTTCCTAATCGGCCAAAGGTACCTGCAGCAACACCCCTTACGGTGCATAGTAAGCGAAATCTTGAATCTTTGGAGCAGCAGCTGCGCTATGGTCAGAAAAACCCTACCGAAGAAAAGACCAGCCTGAATTTCCAGCATCAATTGCTACTTGGTCATGTGTCATTGCTCACGGGTGTTGCTTTTGCCACGGTGCCTCGGGATGATAATTCTGGTCAAAAGCGCAGTTACATCCTAACCGGAGACCGCGATGAGCATATCCGAGTCTCTCGCTATCCCCAGGCTCATATTATTGAAGGTTATTGTCTGGGCCATACTGCATTCATCACCAAGCTCTGCATTCCCCAATCTGCTCCAGAATATCTCATCTCCGGCGGAGGCGACGACTATTTGCTAGTCTGGAAATGGACCGAAGGCCGTATGCTACAGAAGGTCCCCCTAGTGGAGCAGGAATCAGAGACTACACAGGTTACAGTTCGTGGAATTTGGGCGACATCAATCGGTGGATCGAATATTGTTCTTGTTGCGCTTGATGGGTAAGTGGGAATGAGAGTCTAAGTCAATATCCTGCTTGTCTAATGTCCTCAATAGGTCCTCACAGCTGCAATGCTTCGTGCTCGAGTCCGATGGCACATTAAAAACACAGGGCCCAATCGAGATGTCTGGCAACGTATTAGACGTAGCCATCATGGAGAAGGACAGCACAATTGTTGTTTCTGTGGACTCTATCCGTGAAAAGGGCTCGACTCACGAATGGAGAGCCAGCCCAACAAGCTCCTCGAATCTAATTGAATCGTTCTGCGTGAAGCCGGGAACAGAAAACTTGGAGTGGGAGCCGGTCACAGAGTCGCTAGTTACCAATATTAATCTGGCCGGCTCCTCCGGTATTCCAGCAGATGCCGACACGAAGCAAAGAAAGGAACTCAACGAGTTGTTATATAGTTTGGGCAATCTGCGCAAGACGCACGGGGAGGATTACTGAGGAACAATCGGCCGCTGTAAATTCAAACTACTTATTATTTAAATAGTCAATTGGTTTAGACATACTTCAACCTTTTTTTTCGGCTTGTACGCCTTTGTATGATACACTTAGGGGTTTACGTACTTACTACCAATACTTACTACTACGTACTCTGGTATGTAGCCTAGCAGATGGAAGGGTTCCGAATTAGGTTGGGATGCACAAATGTACTGCGGCGGGCCGAGGCGCCGAGCGGCGGTTGGGACCTTGGTGCTAGAATTGCATGCAGTCACCCCTCTTCCCAAGGTCCCCTCTTCACACAATCCATCCTATTTTCCGTCAAGATGCAGGAACAATTCGCTCCATTGAAGAACGACCTTTTGCTGAGGGCCGCCAGAGGTATTTCCATCATAGATTACAACAGCCGAAATTGCCGCCGCTGATGTAATTGTAGGCGAGAAGGTCGAGCGTCCTCCGATATGGGTTATGCGTCAAGGTATATATGCTACGCTTCTGCTATCTTTCCCCAATGTAGTTTCATGCAGGCTGAAAGGGCCAGCCATTGCTAACTTTGTATTTTTCTCTACTTGTAGCTGGACGCTATCTCCCCGAATACCACGAAGCTAAAGGAGGTCGCGACTTTTTCGAATGCTGCCGCAGCCCGGAAATCGCCTCGACGCTGACTATCCAGCCTGTGGAACGCTATGCAGGGCTTATCGATGCCGCAATCATCTTCTCCGATATTCTAGTCATTCCCCAGGCTATGGGAATGCAGGTTGAGATGGTTGACAAGAAGGGACCCCACTTCCCCGAACCGCTGAAGTCGCCGGACGACGGACAGTACGAAAAAGTGATGCAGAAGCAGGTCGATGTTAAGGAGGAGCTTGACTATGTTTACAAGGCCATCCGACTCACCCGGCACAAGTTGCAAGGCCGTGTCCCGCTCATTGGTTTTTGTGGTGCCCCTTGGACCCTCCTGTGCTACATGGTTGAAGGTGGTGGAAGCAAGATGTTTGTTCAGTCGAAGACGTGGGTCTACAAGTACCCAAAGGAATCCCAGGCATTGCTGCAGAAGATCGCAGAGATCTGTGTGGAATACCTTGCACTCCAGGTCGCCGCAGGCGCCCAGTTAGTCCAGGTCTTTGACTCATGGGCCGGTGAACTTTCTCCGGCCTCGTTCAAGTCATTCTCGCTCCCATATCTGCGCCATATTTCTGCAAATCTGCCCAAGCGGCTGAGGGAAATGGGACTGGAGCCGGTGCCCATGACTGTTTTCGCCAAGGGCGCATGGTATGCACTTGATGACCTTTGTGAATCCGGCTATAACGTTGTGGGGCTTGACTGGCTACATGACCCAGCGGAAGCTAGGCGAATTGCGAACGGTCGGGTCACCATCCAGGGCAATGCTGATCCCGGTATGCTCTACGGCGGCCGTCCTGCCATCACGGAAGTTGTCGAGACCATGGTTAAAGGTTTCGAGAAGGGCAAGCAAGGATGGATTGCCAACTTGGGTCATGGTAATGACGTCCCATGATATTTAGGTTGATGAAACATGCTAATTTGCGCAGGCGTTACTCCATTTGTCAAGCCTGAAGATCTCAAATTCTTTTTTGAGGAGATCCACAGACTAACGGCATAAATAAAGCATATGACATGATCATGGCGATGATTTCTGTAAGGGTGAGGCTCTGACTATTTACATTGCGATTCCTCATACCCTGGAGCTCATCGGCGAATGGCTGATTAGCCTATGATATATTCACGGCTTAGACAGCAATATCCTCATTCCTATATTTTTGATATGTCCATAGTCAGTTACTATCATTTTGAAATGGAGGGGATGGGCGGTAAAACAATATACGTTATCGACGACTTGTCATGATCCAAAAGCAGTGTTCAGAATTAAAGAACTTACCAGAGCTCCGGCTTCTCCTTCATGAATTTCTCCATCAACTGTTTGCACTCCTCGTTGTCCAAGACAACCAATTCCTTGCCACGGTTCTTGAGATATTCCTCCCCACCCATAAAACTCTTGTTCTCTCCAATGACCACACGATTCACTTTATAGAGGATGCAAGCACCCGTGCACATATCACAGGGAGACAAGGTCGTATACATGGTAGCACCTTCGTAGGCCGAAGCGGGAAGGCGGCCTGAGTTCTCCAGAGCAGACATCTCGGCCTGTTATGTCAATGTAAGCCACGGGCATCCTTCCAATCACCTAGGGGGTATTGAACAGGCGAGTGGTTGACTAACATGTAATGTCGCACTCCCCTTCTGCACGCGCATATTGTGTCCACGGCCAAGGATTTTGCCATCTTTGGAGACCAATGCCGCGCCGATAGGAACTCCACCTTCAGCGTAACCTTGCTTTGCCTCCTCGAGGGCAGCAATAAATCCAGGGTCTGACTCCATTATACTAGATATGATTTGATATGGATTATGGGATGTAGAGGGAAATAAAGACTCGAATTGGAGAACTAGAAGACAAGTAGGGCGCAGAGATAAGCTGTTATGGTCTCTAACTCAACTCCATCCGGCAAAATTCAATCTGGTGGTCAACTGCCGTTCTGGTTCTAGCTTGACCCGCAGGAACGGTTGGCCACGGCTTGTTGTTGGCGGAGGATCTTGATAAAGGTGATAAGCATTTCGGATGTTTTCCCCTCATGAAGAATACGTTTATGCAGTGATTCCTTGAGAGTGAAATTTGCCATTGTATGCAATGTTCCGCAATGGCTTATATTCTACCTCCTGGAATATGCTCAGGATTTAATGAACGTGTCAAATTTTACCTCCAATTGGTGGTTGAAGTTGCATCCGTTTCTAATTGTTTACGAAGTTGTGCGGTTGTTCCAATCCTGATTATATATTTGACGATGCGGGGCGTCTCGGCATACATTTTAGAATGCATACAATGGCTATAACCCACTATATGTAGATTACAATAGTTACCGATCAAGAGTATCGTGACCTGTAGAAAATCTCAGTAGTCTTCTCCTTTCATCAACTATACCTATCGTTATATCTATGTGATGTCTTCATTCCCCTCACCCACGAACCCCCCTCTTTCCACTTCTGGATACTGCTGCTTATCGATAAGGAAAAACTTAACTAGCAGCCGTCCCGCCGCCACATTGTTTGCCTGGGGCAAAGTCGACTGTGCCACAAGAAAAAAAGAAAAAAAAAAAAAAAAAAAAAATTCAAAAAATCAAAAAATAAGTGTTCCAAAATCCAGAGAGCCAGATCTTCATCCACAGACGTACTTGACTGTGTATCTACGATGTATTCTACACTGCTTAATCTGTAGGATTCAGAACCACAAGTCGCCTCCAGTGAGATATTTGCTTCATAGAGTCTAAGGTCATTTTTAATCACCTGTACATTCATGAATGGTTTCTAAGACACTAATAATAATACTTTTTTCGTAATACATCAGCGCTCTATGGAAGCAGATGGAAAGGGACTGTTGACATTGTGAATATTCCGCCGTAAGGAACCGGTATCTGAAAGCTGATACAGGGTAAAACTTCATTGGATGCATTGTAACAGTGGTAACAAAACAATGGAATTACCGATTCGGTTGGAAAGGCAGCGAAGATGGTGGAAGCCGGCAGAATCAGATGGAAAGGGAGAGTCAGCGCTTTGAGCCGTGGATTCAGCCTGTGACAGGGTGGTCGAAGCAGCCAGAAGAGGAAAGCAAAGCCAATCGGGCTGCAAGTCATGAACATGAGGCCCCTATCGTTTTGTGCTTGAAAAGCCAGGCAGAACCTCCTTTTACAGTTTCATTTAGTTTCATTTCGACTGATTTTCCGCCGCCTGGACCCTAGAACTTCCCCTTGACCTTTTTATTTGATACCCCAGGGAACGGTCATAGTTTGTATACTTTGGAGAAAGATCGCCAGTGCCCTCGGATCTTCGCCTTATCGTATCTCCGGTACCAAAATACAGAGATTGCACAGAGCTTGGCATCTTAATCAGCACAAGTTCGCCCCGTGAAGGCCCCTTTGGTGCCTGGTCCTGGTATTGAAATTACCATCTTACGCCCGTCAGTCGCCGCTCCTGTCTTGATAACCTCGAAGTGGCCGTCAGATCCTTTTTCTTCTCATCAACAAACCCACCTCTCAACCACCCTCCCGAGGCCCCCTCCCACCTTATAGACCCTTCGTTCCGGCTAAACGACCGGCGAACTTCTCCTCTCTTTGGACAATTCCCTCTTTCCCGTACCGTTCGCATCTCCGTGACGTTTTCACTAGAAAAGTTCTTGTTTCTATAGTTTTCTTCTCCGCCTTGATTCGTTGGTTCTTGTAATTGTTCTACAAGCCACCCCTTTCTTAGTATCCGACTAGACACACTTTCACAATGGTCAAGGAAACCAAGTTTTACGACGTTCTCGGGGTGAGTATACTTATGGGTGGCCGCTGAATCCCCCGTGTTTGAAACTGACGGTGAGGCTATCAGGTTGCCCCGACAGCCACAGAGGCTCAACTGAAGACCGCCTATAAGAAGGGGGCCCTCAAATACCACCCTGGTACGTCGCCTATACCCCAGCTCAAATGACCGGCTGGGGCGGAAGAGTTTAGACTGGACTTGCTGACAGGTTCCCATAGACAAGAACGCAAACAACCCCGATGCCGCTGAAAAGTTCAAGGAACTTTCCCGTGCCTACGAAATTCTCTCCGACTCCCAGAAGCGTTCTCTCTACGACCAGCTCGGTGAGGAAGGCCTTGAAAATGGTGGTGGCGCCGGCGGAATGGGTGCAGAGGATCTCTTTGCCCAGTTCTTTGGCGGCGGCGGCGGCTTTGGAGGTATGTTTGGTGGTGGTATGAGGGAGCAGGGCCCCAAGAAGGCCCGCACCATCCACCACGTGCACAAGGTCAACCTGGAGGATATCTACCGCGGAAAGGTTTCGAAGTTGGCCCTGCAGAAGTCTGTCATTTGCCCTGGCTGTGATGGTCGTGGTGGTAAGGAAGGTGCCGTCAAGTCGTGTGGCGGCTGCAATGGTTCCGGTATGAAGACTATGATGCGCCAGATGGGACCTATGATCCAGCGTTTCCAGACTGTTTGCCCAGACTGCAGTGGCGAGGGTGAGACGATTCGGGAGCGCGACCGCTGCAAGCGCTGCAATGGTAAGAAGACCGTTGTCGAGCGCAAGGTCCTCCACGTTCATGTCGACAAGGGTGTCAAGAACGGCCACAAGATCGAATTCCGTGGGGAGGGTGACCAGATGCCTGGCGTCATGCCTGGAGATGTGGTCTTCGAGATTGAACAGAAGCCTCACCCCCGGTTCCAGCGTAAGGAAGATGACCTTTTCTACCACGCTGAAATCGATCTTCTCACAGCTCTTGCTGGCGGTACCATCAACATTGAGCACCTCGATGACCGCTGGTTGACTGTGAACATCGCCCCTGGCGAGGTTATCACTCCTGGTATGTCACTTCTCCCGCTCATCTACGGTAATTGAGGCATGGGCACTAACACACTGATTTTCTAGGCGCCATCAAGGTGATCAAGGGTCAGGGTATGCCCTCATTCCGCCACCATGACTTTGGCAACCTCTACATCCAGTTTGACGTCAAGTTCCCCGAGAAGGATCAGCTCAGCAACCTCAACCTTTTGGAACAGGTTCTGCCCACCCGCATGGAGCAGCCCCAGCCACCTGCCGATTCCATGGTGGAGGACTTCGAGCTGGAGGATGTCGACTCTAGCGAGTACTCCCAGGCACGCGCCCATGGTGCCGGTTCTATGGACGAGGATGACGATGACGTTCCTCCTGGCGCTGAGAGAGTGCAGTGCGCCTCTCAGTAAAGAGGGGGCTTTTTTCTGTGGTTGATTAAGTTGCTGTGCTAGGGCATTACTGAAATCGCTTATGATACCATGCGGGAGCTCAGCCCTGGTATTGCTTGGTTCTTAATTCTTTTGTTCGCTTGATGATTTACTCTGCAATGGCGTTTCTCGAAGATCCGGAAGATGATGCGGGAGATTTCGTGTCGGTTCATTTTACATTCCCATCGTCATGCTTTGATTCCCATGCATAATATTCTATTTCTTGTTTGTCTGTTATGGGGGAAGGGAGGGTATGGTACCTGATGAGATGGACGAGATCATGGTAAACGAGTCAACATTTCATTTCTTCTCCCCTTTCCGCTCATCGCTTCAGTTGACTCGGGATGGGGTATGGTGGGTCGATTTAGGGGTTGAGCGTGTTTCAACATTATAGACTACAGCGTGGGTTTGGGTATTGAATATTCCATTTTAACTGCCAAGTGTTTTCCTTGTAATGGCCATCGGCAAAACTGTTTTGTAGCTCAGCGTATATCTGCGCTTCCCTGGCTGCATTGGTGATCCCAGCGTACTTGCTGCTCATGGCATTAGTGTCCTGTCCAGAATCTGGGCGATATCTTGGTTCACCATCTGTTGCGTCACTACACTGGCAACTGCATAACAGAGATTGAAAGCAACACGCATGAGAATGAGAAGTCAATGACCTCGAGAATCGTGCGCAACCACGTGTATCAATCAGCCTCTACTCCCCATGCGCACGCTTCCTCCTAATCACAGCCCATCTCACCAGAATCCCCGGACTCGCAGAAAAGAGCGCATTCCTGCATCTTACCTCATAGCTCCCATGACCCAATGTCTCAATATCCCTAACCAAACAGCAGCCACGTAAGATGCAATCCCCACAACAACCAGCATCATATCACCACAGCCGCCATCTAACGGCATGTACTTAATATCGCCGAAGGTCAACAGATCCATTCAAAATCACCTGTTCTGGTCCGCGGGCGATCCGTGCGCCATACGACCCGTTCCGTTTCAGCTTTCCTTGAATAAGCGATTCGGCTTCGGTTTGCGCGTTTGACTTTCTTTTTTTTTTTTTTTTTTTTTTTTTGTTGCTCATCCTTCCTTTGTGCCGAGCTTCAAGAAACAACTCCGTGTGCGCTTCTCGTTCGTGCATCAGGTATGGGATTGCTGGTCTCATGATCGAAGCTGGCGGGGATTCTTCTCGAAGGGAGCGATGTTCATGCCTAAGAACGATGATCACTGGTTCGATCTGGTTCATTGTTTTGGGGCGCGGAGATGTGCGATGACGTCAGGAGCATTGGTGAGTTTGTTAGTGAAGGCCTTTGGGGTGTTTGGCGGGGTTTCGTTCTTGTCTCGCGGGTGGCCTTGTTTAGCTCCGTCTGGTGGTGGTGGTGGTGGTGGTTAGGGCTTTGTGGTTAGTAGTTCTTGGTGGGTGGTTTTTGGGGGGTTGAGGATATTATGGGGGTAGGTCTGTTGGTTAGTATAGCGAAATGATGCTTTGTAGTTTTGTATGTGTGAGTGAGTGAGTGACCAGTGTGCAATTGAAATGCCCGTTCAATGCATGGACATAAAAATGCGGAGGGAGCCCTAGTCCGACATGGCCGAGTGCATACCGATTGGAGAGCATATGCATAAGGTCCAATGCAGTTGTACATCCCGTATTAGCTCGAGATCGACTCCGGGGTAAAAGTCAGGTGGACTTTGGGGCTCTTGCGGCGAGCATCAAAGCCACATCTCATTAGTACTACTAGTAAGTAGTAGAGAACGAGTACTACTGTAGTATTAAGTCGCCCGCCTGTGATTGGCCCATGTGATCAGCGACTTTTGTTGACCTCAAATCTTGTCCGGATGATCGACCGGCGGACAATATCTCCATCTTGATATTTTTTTTCTTTTTTTTCCCCCTTCAGTTGAGGGTAATATTCGATGGAGCTGAAATGTGCCCCAGTGAGTCTATCACGTAAGAAGAAACAAAGATCCAAACCAGCAATTGGATGGGTGTCCTACTACTAGTAAGTGGGCGGGCACGAGGGCATATCCTTCGCCACGGCTAAGTCCATATGCTGGGTAGATCGCATGCTCAGAACGTGCCATGTGCTTTTTTCCATTCGGTTAATGGTGGATTTAGTTTCATCCTTTTTGACTCTCTCGGCAGATAAAGAAAATATCACAACCAGAAAAGAGAGACGACTTTTAGGGTAGAAATGACCTCATATACGTTAATCTGGCGAAGCTGAAGCTGGACGTCCGTGCAGATGCCGAACTATATACATGGATTCTTACCATAGGGGCATGGGACATGCGCTTGTCAGGCGACTGGGAGGGTTACTGGGCTTAAGCGTCGCTTGCTGCCCAGGGGTCTTGCATCTGAGGGATGACCCTGATGAGATCTAAAGCACGCCTTCGCAGCAAGGGTTGGTGTGGCAGGGATCCGTTCGTAAGATGCGAAACAGATGGTGAGATTTTTGATCATTGCACGATGGTATTGCGATACGAGACGTCGGTAACTCCGCGGAATAGGCTCAATTAGAACGATACTAGTCTGTAGCTGCAGGCGCCATTGATTCCACTGAGAAAGTGTATTCCAAGTGATCCCTCATACCGAGGGCTTAAAGGGGAAGGACTGGTCTTCAGGTATACCGGCGGCCTTATTGAGATGGTTTTGTTCCTGGGGCTCTTGGTTACGGTTCCATTATATGCCTGTGTCAGGCAATATTAACTACTAGTAGCCGCACTGGTTGGCCAGGGGGGCTGTCGAGAAAACGAGCGGACACTGGGCAATGGGGGTGTTAAGATCGATGACGCGATTTTGATCTCGATGGTGTTAGAGTGGAGAACCGAGTAAGCTCGAGGACGTGCAGGAGAGCAAAGCAAGGTGGTGAGGGTTCATTGGCGAGCACCGTCCAGACTAGGATCCTCATCCATGAGCTCTCTATGTACCCCAAGGCCAATGCGGCCGTTTCGATTGCCTTTCTGTGAACTGGCTCCACTGGGATTGGACGATGAAGTTTCGGCGTCACCCCGTTGGTACTATGTAAAAAAGTATTCTACCTCGAATTTAACTAACCAGAAGGCTAATTTATATTGGGATCCCAACTGGGTTAGGGCGGTTATACCTTAATGGCACGCAGCGGACCTGAGCAGATTCAATCATAACACCCATCTAGTATACTCCATAGATAGTAGTACCCGGCCTATCTTTACCCTTGTTGGTAGGTTGACTACCGAACAGAGCAGCCCCAGAGTCCCCAGAATGCCAAGTCTCTTCGGCAATGTCTGGACCTGGTAGGGAGAAAACTGGCCGAGGCTGCCCGCGTCAGTCAATGAACGGGAAACTCCATTAGTACTCCTGATGCGACTACGGGGGCCGCCATGACGACGACGCATGGAACGGAACTTTTTTTTATTTTTTTTATTTTTTTTTTTTTAAGACGATGCGACGGATAGATGTGGTTAAATTTCGGGAGTTTAAGCATCGTCGTCAGTAATTTTACGTCTCTGCCGCACTAGACGGAGGACAAGCCTCCAAGAAAAAACTAGCAAGAAAGTCAAAATAATAATAATAATAATAATCTAACATCAAAAGGCAAAAATAAGATTGTTGTGGTTAGGGTCAAGAAAAGGCCAGGGTATGGAAAAGAAAAAGAAATTTCATGGAAGCCAATCCCACACGTGGACCGGTCGGGCTTTCACCATCAAAGTGCACGATGGCGTGTTCTGCCGCGATCCCTATTGGATTGGAACCCGGCGGTGGAGCGAGGGCAGAGGCGGATGATGTCGCAGACAGCTCTCGATTGGTTGCATTTGCTCGTCTCTCCTCTGCAGCTCGTTCATTAAAGGTGGGCGGTCACTCTTGGCAATATCTAACCTTTGTGGTTGCGTCTCTGGCTTTGAAGCTCTGCGGTAGAGACATACGTGACCTCCGTCCGTAGGGGTAAATTAAACAACGAGTTGAGACTCTGACCACATAGGTTCCATGGCCGAAATGACCCAGATCGTCTGGAGAGGCTGGTTTCAGAGGAGTAGACATCAGATACCGATTGACTTTTGCCATTCAGATGCTGATCATCCATGGGTGGTAACCATGAGCGGAACCCAGCTCCACGGCTCGGCGTCATCTCTCGCTTCCAGGCCCTCGTCAGCGAGTCCACCGAAACGGCTCTTACGCCAGCACTCTCCGACAAGCTTGATACACCTCCTCCATACTCTACTAGCCAGGATGTTGAGTTGCGTCCGCTAAGGACTTTTGCCCTTGGCGATCCATAGTGGATCATGTGCTCCATCACTGCGCGTTTGTGCCCCTGCTCGTTCCCAATGACAATGGATGCTCCCGGGACAAATCCCTTGGATTAATTTGATTTGATTTTTATTCTCTGACTAGTAATCCCAGATGAACGTCTTCTCCTCTGGGTTTCTACAACGGGGATAGTACTACATACTAACTATTACCATCCGTGATTATCAATCCCCGTTGGATCGTCTCCATGGATCGATTCCATACTGTTCTTACCGTTTGGCAGATATCCACCCACATTTCCACCCCCCTTCCCATCAGTTAGTTAGTTAGTTGCCTGACTTATCAAAGGTAGTCGATCACTCGAGAATTTCTTTACTTAACCGAACTTTCCTCCCCGTATTGCCTTTCTGTTGCCTCTTCCTGATCATCTTTCGTTATCCGGTGGACGTCCGTTTCCTACGCCACCGAACGCTGGCTGACCCTCCCCACGCCTTGATATGCCCATGTTTTCTTTTTCCTTGCTTCGTATTGTGATTTAAGATTAAATTAAATCTCTCTATTCGGTTTAAACAACTGCAGGACTAGTGAGATTTTTAAAGTGTTGTTGTGGGAAGCTAACATTTCGACTTCCCTGCTCCTGATCACGACATCGCTCTTGGCTGTCCCGTCATTTCACCTTAAATTTATCCACTCTGCCGCATTTTCCTCGATCCTCAATTCTCCACAGGCGCTGGCTATGGACCTTGTTTGAGCACAGCTTGATATCAGTCTCTCTTATCAACATCTTCTGTGCTCTTCTTTTCTTCCTTCCCCCGTCCGGCCTTTTTTCCAAGTCACCCGAAACCCCCCCCCCCCCGTTTGACCTCATACTTCCTGGACTCCAAAGGACCACTGGGTGATATATAGTGGTAGACTTTGGGCTAGTCCTGCCCCAATCCTACATCAACTCCTGAGACCGTTTCTCCCACCAGGACCATGTCGGGCGATCTCAAAACCAAAGTTGGTCACGGCGTGGCCAAGGCCTTGGGGATCAAGGTCCCCTATCGTGATCCTTTGGGCGCTCGTGCTGACCCAGTCACACGAGGCGAGTCGATGTTCTCCGTCGGCACAATTGACACGTATTCCTATCTTGAGCCCGAACCCACGTCCGCCGAATGGCTGCAGGAGATCTGCCCTACCTGGCCTCAGGTAGGCAGTTATTTCTACAGGCTTTTCCCTTTCCTCTCGTGGATTACGAGGTACAATTTGCAATGGCTTCTGGGAGATATGATTGCCGGTAAGAGCCTTTCCCTTGGCGCTTGCTGTGATCGACAAGTAGACAACATACTCATGGACATGCAGGTGTCACGGTCGGTGCCGTGGTGGTTCCGCAGGGAATGGCCTATGCTAAACTGGCAAACCTACCGGTAGAGTTTGGTCTCTATTCCTCGTTCATGGGTGTTCTCATCTATTGGTTTTTCGCCACCTCAAAAGATATCACCATTGGTGTAAGTCGTTCTGTCTCCCTGTCAGCATATATCTTGCTGATCTAGTATCTTCCTTATCCAGCCGGTAGCTGTCATGTCTACCCTGACAGGTAAGATAGTTGCCGAGGCGCAGGAGAAGATTCCAGATGTTGAGACGCATGTAATCGCATCCTGTTTGGCTGTCATTTGTGGAGCCGTCGTTTGCGCTATGGGCCTGCTCCGACTTGGATTCATCGTGGATTTCATTCCTCTACCGGCAATTTCAGCTTTCATGACGGGTTCTGCCATCAATATCTGCTCCGGCCAGGTCAAGGATATGCTTGGAGAGACGGCCAGCTTTTCGACGAAAGATGCTACATACATGGTGATCATCAACACCCTCAAGTATCTTCCCACCGCCAAAATTGATGCTGCCATGGGTGTCAGTGCTTTGGCTATGCTGTACATTATCCGTTCGGGTTGCAACTATGGCGCGAAGAAGTTCCCCCGTCATGCCAAGGCGTGGTTCTTCGTTTCGACTTTGCGGACAGTGTTCGTGATCTTGTTCTATACGATGATCAGTGCCGCTGTCAACCTGCACCGACGGGATAACCCACGATTCAAACTCCTGGGCAGTGTTCCTCGTGGTTTTCAACATGCGGCGGTCCCTCAGGTGAATGCGAGGATCATCAAGACTTTTGCTAACGAGCTTCCTGCTTCGATTATTGTCCTGCTGATCGAACACATCGCGATCTCGAAATCCTTCGGTCGTGTCAACAACTATACCATTGATCCATCCCAGGAGCTGGTTGCTATTGGTGTGTCGAACTTGCTTGGGCCGTTCCTTGGTGGATACCCTGCGACTGGATCGTTCTCCCGAACTGCCATCAAATCGAAAGCTGGTGTCCGCACCCCACTCGCCGGTGTTATTACTGCCGTTGTTGTCCTCCTCGCCATTTACGCTCTGCCCGCGGTCTTCTTCTATATCCCGAAAGCTTCCCTTGCTGGTGTCATTATTCATGCGGTCGGTGATCTCATCACCCCACCAAACACCGTGTACCAGTTCTGGCGGGTCTCCCCTCTTGATGCCATCATTTTCTTTATCGGCGTTTTCGTTACCATCTTCACCACGATTGAGATCGGCATCTACTGTACCGTTTGTGTGTCTGTTGCCATTCTGCTGTTCCGGGTCGCCAAGGCCCGCGGCCAATTCTTAGGAAGAGTCACTATCCATTCGGTGATTGGTGACCATCTCGTGCAGGATGATGGGAAATATGGGTCTGCCAGCTCCCCTAATGTCACCAGCGATGATAAAGGCGGATTGAGCCGGTCTATCTTCTTGCCGATCAACCACACGGACGGATCGAATCCCGATGTCGAGGTGCAGCAACCTTACCCTGGTATTTTCATCTACCGATTCTCCGAAGGATTCAATTACCCCAATGCCAATCACTACACGGATTATTTGGTCCAGGCTATTTTCAAGCAAACTCGCCGCACAAATCCGTTCTCCTACGGTAAACCGGGTGATCGACCGTGGAATAATCCCGGCCCTCGCAAGGGCAAGTCCGAAGAAGACCATTCGCATCTGCCCATACTGAAGGCTGTCATTCTTGACTTCTCATCCGTCAACAATGTTGATGTGACTTCGGTCCAGAACCTCATCGATGTCCGCAACCAACTCGATCTCTACGCTTCCCCTAAGCCTGTGCAGTGGCACTTTGCTCATATTAACAACCGCTGGTCGAAACGAGCCCTGGCAGCAGCAGGGTTCGGCTTCCCATCTCCCGACGCGGGTGAAGGGTTCCATAGGTGGAAGCCAATCTTCAGCGTGGCTGAGATCGAAGGCAGTGCCTCTGCCGCAGCTCATGCAGAGATGGTGAACAACGAACATGTCCAGCATGCCATCAAGAGCGAAGACCTCGAACATGGCCTGAAGCACGATTCCGAGACCACCGAGCGTGAGACACACGGTATTGAAGAATCGTCCGATGCCAGCAGCACCCAGGACGACAAGTTGCAACGGGACCTGAAGGACAGCAAGGCCTACCGCAGTCGCCGAAGAGTCGCCATGGTGCAGGGCCTCAACCGGCCGTTCTTCCACATCGACCTGACGAGTGCACTGCAGAGCGCCTTGGCCAACGCGGGCGAGGACCCGGACCCTACCATGAATGTCCTTGATGCGTAGTCGGTTTTCTAATTTTGTTTATTTGCCACGTATGATACTCCCTGGTCGGAGTCCACTTTTATACTGCCTAGAGAAGGGCCTTTGACTTCTGTTATATAATGTTTGTTTCAAGCGAGTCCACCTGCTCTGTGTTGCTTTGATTTAAGTTGGTTGGAATCGTGGATAGGCACCTACATATACCCCTGACATCTGGCTTTCGTGTGTATATATATAGACTTTTATCGATGCACATATATCTCTATATACGTGCAGTCTTTCAAAACTTTGCTTGGTTACTTTCACATTTGGCCCTGGATAATCGTACCGTAGCTGTTTGCCGGAGAAGTCAACAGTGTCAATTACGGTATAGGTTTAAGTGGGCTTTTGGTCTGCACCCTCATGCCCCGTACGAGACATCCTCACTTTACCTATGATAGCATGGACCTCCATACAAAGAAAGAATAACTTGCAAGACACGAGAGGTTAGGAGGATCAAACCACAATTTTAGATCGTGAGAAGCTGGGAAGGGGTCTCATCCAAGCACTTCCAACAACAACTGCTGTTAGTGTAACCTATGCTTGACTGATAAGCTACATCATTGACTACCTCTCTTTGACAGCTCGGCTTGGACGAATGAAACCGCCACCACCACCACCACCACCACCAAACTTGGATATCTTCTCACTAAGTGATTGATTACATGGATCCTTCTTCTCGATGTTCTGGTCGGAATTTTGCTCTGACTGTCGATTTTCCGGAGAGAGCGGGTTCGTTGGTTGGCAGGGAGCTTCCAACAAGGGTGGGCTGTTCTCGTGGAGAGGAGTGGTAACCATATCGTTCCGAGATAAGATCGGACGCCTAATGGTTGATGCAGCCGATGCGTCGCTCCGATGTGTAAAGGCAGAGACATGCTCTGTTTGGGCTCGATCTGGGGGAGGGCTCGATGCGGCCGAGCGACTGTTGTTCGAAGTAGGGGACCGAGAACAGGGGCTTCCCATCTGATCCTCGGCATCCTGGTACGCGGCAGGAGATCCCGATGATGCGTGAGTCGACTCGGCACGTCCGAAGCGGAATGCGAGTCGTGATGTGCTCGGATCGGAGGCATCGTGAGTACCCTTGAGTTTGGCCACCAGCCGTTTTGTAGCGCTGCTCGAGTCTGCGGCCGGCCGGGTGATTTCTCCATTTTGGTGCGGTCCTCTGGAACAGCCAGCCTCAGTCTTCGTAATGTTTCCATCCTCCTCGAGATTTGGTGCTTCACCGCCGGCTCCTCGTCCCCTCTTGTCCTTGTTCAAGGCCTTGGCGAAACCCTGCGAGGTGGCCATAGTATTGGTTTGCGTATGCTGCCCACTTGCTGAACCAGGCGAGCTCTTGATTGTCGAACCTTCCGCTTAGATCTCCCAACAGCTTCTCCGTGGTGGTCAGCGCCCCCTGGGTGACGTTGGACAAATCTTCCACCTTGGAGGTGTTTCGATCCACTTGCATCTTGAGCTCCTGCCACTCTTCTCGAGTGACAAAATCTTTCTCCTGGTGGAAGAAGTTAAGGTGTTCTTCGATTTGCTCATTCAGATCCCGCAGGGAGATCTTCAACATATCGAGCAACCCCTCCAGGCCCTTCACTTTGTCCCTCACTTCTCTCAGGTCTACACGGGACGTATCCTGCAGTTTGTCTAACTCTGGGGCTAATATCTCTTCAACGAGCTCATGTCGATCCATCAGCGCTTTCAGTCTCTGCTGCACGAGGTGTAAATCATCGCCATGACGGAAAGGGCTGGCGATCGCACCCGTCACATAGTTTTCCAATTCCAGACCATCAAGCTCCAGCGGCGAGTACAGAATATGCTTGGCGGACATCGTCGCCAACAGCTCCTTGGCACATACGGCTGCAGCTAGCGCTGCGTACGGCTGCCAGACATCGTTCTTATGCCCATCCGCATAGTCGAAAATCCCCCGAATGGGAAGACAAGGGACGTTCAACATCACCCCAGTTGCCTCCATCTCAAAACAAATCAGGTTCTCCTGCGTCGCAAGCTGGTCACGCACTTTTGCATTCTTCATCACCACGCTTGCCGTTCCAATATTGCCTTGATGGATCTGAACGAGGTCACCCCGTCGCTGCCCGCGTGGACGCATTTGATCATTCAGCTCCGCTCTAGGCTTCAGGCAGTCGCAATGGCTCCCCTTATGTGTGTAATCCCACTTATATAGCCGATCCTCGCCTGGCCGGACATAGTCGCTTTGCCCGTCACCGATCCTCTCGATGCGCCGAGAAATATCGGTTGCCCTGGACCTCCGACAGCCCTCCAGACCGGTGATAGCCGTTAACAAGATCTGTGGAGGAGTAAAGATCTGACCGATTCTCACAAAGCCATAGTCCGTTTCTTTGCCGAACGTATAAGGGATCACACGTGTCCCCAGAACCACGTCGCCCAGACAGATATCACGCCCTAAAGATATGCCCCCGCCGATTCCCACGAGAAGCACAAATCGGATCCGCGCAAAGATACTCTTTATATTTTTGGCAATCGTGCTCGCGTGGAGTTCGCCGTAGTAAATAGCTGCCGGGACATTGACGACTACTAGATAGTCTCCCACGCGGTCCAGAGTATACAACGTCCGGTCATCCTGGCCAGGGAGGATATAGCTGAAGTTGTATTGCTTGTCCAGAACTGCCAGGGCTATATAATACTCCTCTGAGATAATGCAAACCTAACCGACCATATAGTCAGTCTGCGACGGAGATGGTCTGGCGACTGGTGGGAGAGGAGGCATAGTAGAAAGTATATAGAAATCCGCTTTGTTTTCTTTTCTTTCTTTTTTCTTTTCTTTTCTTTTATTTTTCTCTTCAATCAAACAGTGATTCTGGGGGACTAAATCAGTATAAAATTAATCACCTTGCGGATAGATCATCGCAGTAGATGAAGAAGGAGGAGCCGTTCGAACGATCCTCCACGCCCGCTCGGGGGTTTGCCCAAGCCCTTTATAATTGGGGCTCTGATTGACTAACTAAGTAACTAGCGCGAGCAATTCTGCTGATTTAATCATAGTATTACTCTGTATTAGCACCTGATCATCACACAAAGCCATGCTTGGGCCATTCGCATTTGCTTCTTCGCGAGTTGAGGAGATTGGGTGGAGGGGGGGAAAGAAACATGACTCGCACCGACTCGGCCGTTCAGCCGCAAGAATCCCTGGCGAGGAGGGGGAGCGAGAGAGAGAGAGAGAGAGAGAGAGAGAGAGCCTGGCAGGGATAGCCTTGTCTACGCCAGGAGGGATTGGCTTCCTCCTCTCTGCCGATCATCCGTTCATGTCCGGGCTGAATGTCGTGAGAGGGTTGCTCGTGAGCATGAATCTCAGTCTTGTAGATCCTAATACTGGCCATCAGAAGGGTGGAAAAGGGTCACCACCCTCCCGTCAGGATTTATCATAAATGCTCCTTGGTTGTCGCTGCTGTTTACTTTCTAGCTCTATACCCCTTCGACTAATTTCAGTTGCGCTACTAGTACTTCGTAGATTCTAGGGCTCGCGAGTCACCACTCGCGGGCAACGTTGGTCTCTGTTGGTAAAAAAAAATGCCTGGTATCGCCTAAGCCCTAGATTGGGTGCCTGACACACCAAGAGCGAAGTGTCTGGAAGAGATATTAATCTTCTTGATAATCTCCCCCCACAAGTCTATACAGACAAAACAGCATTTAGAAAAGATATTATTTGGCAGAGCCTGGGACCATTGTGAAATGATACCAAATTAGGTAATGATAGCTTTGATTTGCCGGACCTTGGACACTCCACTGGAGAGATCAGACTCTATGCATGCAACTCTGCAGACTTCATTGGCAGAGCAAGACAAGGCTGTGAGGGGGGGAGGAGGAGGAGGAGGAGGAGAAAAACATGTTGAACCGTATTTTATGTTTCCATGTAGTTCGTCTATTCTGGAGAATTGTGAAATGGTAAAATCTTTTCGCGCCAATACTTTGAAAAAAAAAGTGACTTATGAATGCCCTGTCCTAGGTGGGTTGTAGACAAATTGTATATGTTTAATTCTCGTTCGTACTTCTCCCAGCCGCTACACGGCGGGACAAACAGGAATTATGTACATATCGTGGCATCTACCGTAGACCTTGTTTGATCGTTGTCTATACCCACGCCGTAGTGGCATCTTGGACCGACTGTTCCAGGCTTGTCCAAGCAGAGAGACCCGACATTCTCTTTAGGAGTTCCTCGGCCCTTTGGTTGGCCACGATGCTCTTATCTTCGCCCAGATTAGGGATATCGTCGATAAACGTCTGCTGTGGATACAGCCGGCGTAGAATAGCGAGGATATCATTCCACGAATAGGGGTGTGCAAATGCAAAGAGTCGCTCATTCTGTACATCAGGGTAAATAAGAGCAGCGACATGCACACGTGCGGCATCCTGAACATTAATATAGTACTGTGGCGGGTTGTACTTCAGCGCCTGTCCTTCTTCACCTGGGAATCCATCCCATACTGCCTTAATCCAACCATCCGTGCTGGGATAACCCTGATGTTCCGGTGAGAGGATGGTGCCCATATTGACATTTGGGAGCACCGTGTTCAGGACAAAGTCGGGCTTATGGTCCTCCATAAACGTCCACGCGGCTTGTTCGGCTTGTGTTTTACTGGCGGAATAGACATCCAGGAGTCGCTGCGATCCTTCGTACGGAGGTGGTGCCCAAGCAGCTTTGACAGCTGTTTCGTTCCAAGTTTTCTCATCCATCGTGAACACTTTGTTTGGCTGTGGACTAGCGGCCGCTGTTGAGGATGATGTGATAACCACCCGTCGCACGGTGGGCTCGGCAGCGGCAGCGGCCAATATATTGACGGTTCCGTTGACAGCCATAGGGACGGCGATATTGGGGTCGTAAAACTGCATCACAGGGGTTGCCACATGGGCTATACCGGCCGCGCCCTTGACGACCTCGTCGAATGCGCCCTCGTGGGACATATCAGGAACTTCAGCGAGGGAGAATCGTCCACTGCCATACTTGGCACTAAAATAGCTATTCAACCACGAGCTTTTCGCGGCATTTCTCACAGTGCCCCGGACATGGTACCCTTGTTGAAGTAGCTGGTCGACTACATGGCTGGCGATAAAGCCATTAGCCCCCGTCACGACGACCAGGGAGCCCGTTGGAATCGCCAGTGGAGTAGTAGAAGACATGATATAGTCTGAGAGACAGAGGAAGACTGATTGATTGATTGATGTTCTATTCAAGATACGGCAGGATCCATTGGTATTTATATGTATACCTTTCTATACGTGCCGCTCATCCGGCTTTTGTCATCAGGGAACCAGCTCTTGAACGAGATCATTGAGGACGTAAGAATTAATAATATTAGTCAGTGGTTTGAAAGTCTCCCATTGGTGCTATACATTTCAGTTTATAACGTTAATCAACCTTGATTTTGTCGCCGCAAGCCAGTTAGTAACAGCCACTTAATAACAAACTAACTAACTACTAGTAGTGAACTAACCATCTCCTTCTAGAATCAGTTTCTCTGGGAAACTTTTAATCCAGAAAATGGGAAAAAGTTACCATGAGCCACGGTGGAGCGTCCCATCCGGGGTGAATACAACCCGATAAAAGTCTCCGATGAGCTCAACACTTGAGGAATTACTAATCTTCCAAAAGACCGTACTAAAACACCGATCATGGGAGGTAAAGCATTCCATGTCATAGAAAACCATACGATTATTTACTTTCTTGTTTCCAGATCTTGACTTTTTTTTTTTTTTTTTAAAAAAAAAAGGGGGGGGGGGTGTCCATGATATGTAAGCTTTGTGCTTTATTTCCAATCTTGTGTAGAATATTCTAGGAGGATGGAACGTGGAAGTATTGGACAGTCTGTTCAGGGTCGAGGTACGATCTGGTCCTTGAGCAACTCAAGACCTTGGGCAACGCCAACAACCTTATCGTTGACGCCGAGCTCCTCCAATGTGATAGTCTCCTCGGGGTAGAACTGGTTCCAATCCGGATACTGCTCGCTAAACCGCAACTGGCTGGCTATCTCTGGTCCAAATAGGGGGCCATAGGCCTTGGCCGCCTCTGAATCGGTCAGCTCGGCATACACGGCCGTCTTTCCAGCAGCTTTGCTCCATTCCTCCGCGACCCGGGTCCAGGAGATCAGGTCGGTGATAATGGGTACATACTTCCCATACGTTTTCTCGGGCTGGGAGAGAATTGCCTGGACCACAATGCCCGTGTTCGTCGCCACAATCCCGCCGCAAGGAACAATCGCGTCAGGCTTTGAGGCTTGGGCCAGAATGTAGTTGCCCAAGAATGGTTGGGGTTGCATTGAGGGCAGATTGGCAAAGTTATCCAAATAGAATCCTGTCCAGACGAACGTCGTCTTCGCTGCCAGTTGCGGTAGCGATGTCTTGACATAATCCGCACCCCTGGCCTTGGCATCCCAATGCGGGCATGGCAGCTTTCCCCCGGAGAGCTTGTCGCAGGATGGCAGAACGCTGAGGACCAAGTGTTGGAGGGTCGGGATTTGGGCGGCGGAGTCCGCAATGTTGATGAGGTGCTGAAGCTCCACCGTCTGTGCAGTGTCGGTGCCACCCTGGAAGACGGCAGTCCAGAAATCAGACACTGCGAAGATAGCCGTAGCGCCGTTGAAGGCTGCCTGTAGGGTCCCGATATCATTCAGATCGGCAGCAACCATTTCAACGCCTAGAGCCTCAAGTGCTTTGGCCTTGGCGCTAGCGGCGTTGCGAGTAAGACCTCGTACTTTCCATGAGGGATCTTTGGCCAGGGCATGAGCAACTGAGCCACCTTGGGTGCCGGTGGCACCAACAATGACAGCCAGAGACATCGTGTACGAAGTGATGGGGGCAACTGTGACGAGAGGAAGAGGAATGTTGGTCTTAAGAGAAGGTGAGTATGTCTTGGGGACCTCTCTTGTGATAGGTATTTATATTTCCCAGTGGGGCCAATGTAGCCAATGGTGAGGCCAGATCTGTTGATTCTATTACTAGTAGTGCTACCTACTACGTAGTACTTGGTCCCCAAGTTCTTGTGGGCTTTCCTTGGGACGGGGCGCCCCAGAATGCCGACCATGAAAGGTGTCACTACTCGTTATTAGGTATAGATTATATATCTTGAAACTTTGGTATTGTGTTACGGACAATCATGAACGGACGGACTCTCCGGTGGGTGGTTCGGCCGTATCACTACCCACGGCTTTGGCAGCCGAAATCCGGAATTCAGCCTCTATAAATGAAGCGTTGCCGATGTCCCTCGTCATGTCACCAACTCGACTCATTTTTGGAATATTTCGTACCTCTGACAGGCGCCAAAATGTCTAAAACCGTTTTGATCACCGGCTGCAGCCATGGAGGATTCGGGGAGGCCATGGCCAAAGTCTACCACGCCAAAGGCTTCCGGGTCTTTGCGACGGTGCGCAAGATGACCAAAGCCGGATCTCTGGCGGATTACGATGGGGTTGAGATCATCGAACTGGATGTGACATCGGTCGAGTCGATTCGTCAATGTACACAGACGGTTGCGAAACATACGGGCGGGCGGCTCGATGTCCTGGTCAACAACGCCGGCGTGAACGCCATTGTGCCGCTTCTCGACGCCTCCCTCGACGAGGCGAAGAATGTCTACGACACCAATGTGTGGAGTATTGTGGCCATGGTGCAGGCGTTCGCCCCTATGCTCATTCAGGCCAAAGGGGTTGTCTGCAATATCAGCTCTGTGTCTGGCGAAATGGTTTTTGCATGGGCGGGTCCGTTCTCCTCGCTCTCTTTCTTTGTGAAGGCAGTCCTCCGAGGCTGACTCTGATGAATGAATAGGTATATATAGTAGCTCTAGAAGTGCTGGCACGCGGATTTCTGAGACGCTGCGTCTGGAGATGACACCCCTAGGCGTGCGGGTGGTCACCGTCATCCTCGGCGGTGTCCAGACCAGAGGAAACGACCCCAACAACATCGCCGACCTGGAGCTGCCCCCCGGTTCGCTGTACCGGAAGATATCACAGGTCATTGATCGTCATAAGAAGACGATGGTGCATCCAAACAAACAGAAGATCGACATCGCAGCAAAGAACGTTGTGGACGATCTCCTCAACGGTCATGGCATCTTCATTCGACGGGGCCAGGCTTCGATTCTGAGTTGGCTATGCAACACCTTTCTTCCTTACAGGCTTTTTACTTGGATGATTAACCGGGAGTCGGCTTTGGATCAAATTTGATCTTTGCACGTATGGAGGGGTTAGGGTTATAAGAATCACCATGCGAATCAACACCAGTGGAGCGGATTTCGGGGGCCGAAGTCCGTTGTCGTCATGGGACGGACGTCAATCCGGCGGAGTTCAAACTTCCCCCTCCGTAGTATAACCAGCATAGATAGGCAGACTCGCAAATGTCATCACACTGGGGTTATCTTTGGAGACTTTTGGCATAGTTTGTAATTGCTAATCGGTAATATGGAACGATCCAACCCGATGATCGCAAATTCCAGCACCTATGGCCGTGCTTGCACAAATTGCTACAAGGCAAAGTGCCGATGTGTGCGTGCCCGGAGTGGCAGTGACTGTGAAAGGTCGACGGGACGAGGCCTGTGATGACGATGCCACTCAGCTAATTGTCTCTCCAGGTGTCTTCGTCTGAAGAGAAAGTGCCAACCATCAGAGTCGGTTCGCAGGCGTCATGTTCCCATGGCCGAAGAGTCCGAGACGCGGATCGCTCGACTAGAAGAAAAGATGGAGAGTTTACTGGCTGCAATGCAGACCTTCATCAGTTCCTCTAGCTCCTTTGGACCACTGGCTGATGCCATTCAGCCCCTATCTATGCCGAATGGTGCTTTAGAAAACATTACGAGGACTGATTGCGGTGCGAGACCGGCCCTGTCGAGTGCTCCTGTATCAACGCACCCAGATCCATCGCTTCAGTCCCGTTCCTATGCAACATCTCCGACTGCTTCACCGCTGAATCAAGCAGATGAACAGTTGGAATATTTCCGAACCCAAATGCTGCCATATTTTCCGTTCATCGACCTCACTCCTGAGATGACGATCCGTGATCTGCGCCAGAACAGGCCCTTCTTGTTACGAGCCATCCACACCGTCACGACCTTCTCGACCCAGGATCGATTAATCCAAGTTGAGGAGTTGAAGCGCCTCCTGTTTACATCTGCATTGCTCAAGGTTGAGTCCAGCATTGATATGCTGCTTGGATTACTGACATATATTGCCTGGAGTACCGATACCTTTCTCGGTAGAGCGGATCTAGTTTCTCGCCTCATGATGCTCGCGATATCACTGGTGTATGATCTGCGGTTGTTCAAACCATCCTCACCGGACGTGCAAGTCATGATGGCGATGTCCCAGGGAGAAGCTGAGGAACCGAGCCAACACCCTAACGCTGAAACGCTGTGTAGCTTATTTGAAAAGCAGCGTGCAGTACTGGCATGTTTCATATTGAGTTCCAAGTACGCATGCGCCCTACCAAGTCTTTATCATTTTCCAATGCTACATCTCTCACATCAATACCTAACATGTGACTGTCCTAGTCTTTCGTCTCACCTTGGCCGTCAAGATGCCTTAAATTGGACCCCCAGAATGGAAGAGGCACTGCACATTCTCACACTCCATGGACCTTGCCCTACGGACAAGTTATTTGTCTCGCAAGTACGCTTGCAACTCTTGAAGCAGAAGGCGGAGAACGTCCGGCAACGGGAGGAGACAGAATGCGCTCACCCAGGGACAGCTCCTGCCACGGTCTCACTTTCGCACTTATTGTATCTCAAGATGCTACGCAGGCAACTTCAAGAGCTCAGGTCTTCATTCCCGAGCGATCTTCCTCAAATAGGTAAGTGCTTTTTCTAGCAAATTATCTGGCAAAGTACCTTCTCTGCAGACTTATTGATGCGTCCATTGATGATGGTACAGACATTCTCCATGCTCACGCTCAGTATGTCGAACTATACATAAACCAACTAGCTTTTTCCATGACTCACGACCCACGGCCTCTAAATATCAGCGGACGACTGGGATTCGACCGCCTTGAGTGCTTATGGCAGTCGGTTGAAAATATCAAATCATGGCTGGACAGCTTCGACGTCATCCACTGCTCTAAACTCATCGGCCAACCCTTTCACTTTTGGTCCCAGATGATCATGAGCCTCACACTGCTGAAATATCTTTCTACCCTCCGGGACCCTGATTGGGATTGCCAAGCGGTGCGGAACGCAGTTCCGCTCATCTCGACGATTGACTCTATGTTACAGAAGCTGGATCAGAGCAGCCAGCAGCCAGAGCTTCAATGCAATGACCACTTACTTCATTATATATCCAAGCTGTTAGCACGATGCCGACTCTGGGCGGAGGCACGGTGGGACATGACTTGCCCGATGCAGGAAGCGAATGCCCTTACTGCGACGAACCTTGACGTAACTAGTCACGATTCCCATGTCCCTGATCTGGATCAGATAGCCTGGATGCAGTCGATGGATTTGGGAGATGATCGGTGGTTTGACGAGGTACTGAGTATACCCACGTCATTTGATTAGTGGCTATCTTGCCTTCCGTCAGATCCATTACGGGCTCCTCCATATGCGAAGACCAGAGAACACTCGGTACCTTTCTAGCCCGGCCGGAAATACGAATTGTGGAAGTGACAGAGGGAGGCTGGGAGACACAGCTATGGCTATATCATAACAAAACAGAAGGCGCTAGGGGATTGATAGCTAGGCGACAAGCGCCTTACTCCAGAAACTTCGATATCATTGACGGACCATTCTCAACAAATTGATATTGGACCAGTAGGTAACTAAAGCCGAACCTTTGACAGAACGTGATATGAGGAATCCTTCATAGAGAAACGAAACTGGGTAGATATGAGAGGATGTCAAATGCATAGCCACACTTTCAGGCCTTTCCAGAGCAACCACATCAGGAGTCACAGGTCGATCTGTATAAATTGACCTACATAACTTGCAGTTGGCTTAGGAAGGCATGCCTATCTGATGGACCATTTCGGAGTCTCACGGAAGTTTCGGCTTTGGGCATGCCCTAAAATCCGTTAAGCCCGGCCCCTGGCCCCATCGTGGTGGGAACTACTCTGAATCAGAGTGTATCAGACTAAGACCGTGCCAAGTAAAGTGCCACGGGGATAGGCTCAGAACGAGAATAGTGACCCTTGGCAGCTGCGTGGAAGAGTATAAATATGACTCCCCCACTCATCCACCTTCCCAGGTCATATCTTCAGATCGACACCTACTACAGAGTATAAGCTACTAGTTTGCGACCTCACTTTACCACGCTTGCATCCCACAGAATCTTACAATCATGACTCTCACGGTTCATCATCTCCACATCTCCCAGTCAGAGCGTGTTGTCTGGCTATGTGAAGAACTGGCTATCGACTATGAGCTGAAGACGTACAAGCGGGCACCACTCCTAGCCCCACCCGAGTACAAGGCATTGCACCCCCAGGAGACCGCGCCCATCATCCAGGACGGCGGCTTGACACTGGCCGAGAGCGGCGCCTGTATCGAGTACATCTGCCACAAGCATGGCGCGGGAAAGCTGTTTTTGCCCCCGACGCACCCAGCCTATCCCGACTTTCTATACTGGTGGCACTGGTCCAACGGCACCTTTATGCCCACCGTAATGCAGTCTATGTCGCTGCGCTCTCTCAACCTCAGTCGGGATAGCGTCCATATGACCATCACAAGTACCCGGTTTCGGAAGGCATTCACGGCCCTCAATGAGAGACTACGTGACAACCAGTGGCTTGCCGGTAGTGAGTTTACGGTGGCGGATGTGATGGTTGTGTTTGTGCTTACTACGGCGCGCTATTGGCTCCCCTATAGTCTGGAGGAGTATGAGAATGTGGTCAAGTATCTTCAGCGTGTTGGAGAGAGGGAAGCGTATCAGAGGGCTATGAAAAAGTGTGAGCCTGAGATGGAGCTAGCTTTGGGGGTGGAGCCACCGAAAAAGGAGTAGTAGTCGTGCATAGATGTATAATAATAATCACCGCTCATGAGTAAGAACTAGAAAAACAATAAAACGCCCCCTGCCAACAAAGAATCAGGAAGTGTAGTGTGTCTTATGGAAGGCCGCTGCTTCATTGCCCGCTATCCTTCCGAAGACAACACACTCCAAAAGCGACGACCCTCCCAAGCGATTCTGACCGTGTAGGCCACCGGTTACCTCGCCTGCAGCCCAGAGACCCTTGATGGGAGCTCCATCCTTATCCAACACCTGACTGCGCTCATCAATCGTAGCTCCTCCCATCGTAAAGTGGGTGACCGGGGTGACCTTTCCAATATAGACCACCGAATCCGGTGTCACGTCCTTCAGAGTCCAGTTCCCGAAAGCTGTGCGGCCGAACCCATCTGATTGTTTCCCTGAGACAATATCCGCATATGTCTTGATCGTTTCGAGCATCGACGAGCCAAGCTCGTGCACGGTTGTTTTGCGCATCAGCCCTTTCCACAGATAGAATCCCATATGCGACCCCAAGGCGGCAGCGGTTCCTTCATCCAAGAGAAGGTTCACATCCCATTGACGCGCGTCCGTCTCCAATGGTTTTGCTGAGCGCATGATAACATTCGTGATGTGCTCGCGGGTGTCCAACTCGTTCACGAATCTCTTCCCATCCTCCGAAAGGAGAATTCCACCCTCTCCACGGAGCGCCTCTGCCGCAAGAATCTTAACAGACGCCGAGGGTTCCTTCTCATCCACAAATCCAGTCGGATGGATTTGAACCTGCTCCATATCCACTAACCCAGCGCCGATATGCTCCAGGAGCGGCTGTGCTCCCTCTAGCGCCTGGTTCGTCGACGGTATCCCAGCCAAATCCGGCCGATACTTGGCCAGCAGTCCATGCGCATCGCCTGCAAATCCACCGCTCGCGAACACCACCGGCCCATTAAGCGTAGTCGCCGTATCATCCTTCGATTCAGTCTTCTCACCACCTGTATACTGAACCCCCAAGACCTCATCCGCCTCGCGCAACACCTTCGTCACTCTAGCCCCCGACCGCAGCTGGAACAGCGAACTCGCCTTCAAAGAATCCAAAAGCGCACTGACGATCGAAATGCCCGGCGGTCGCTGCCCCGCCCCACGATGAGTCCGCGGGCGACTATGGCCCCCCAACCGGCACACCTTGCTCAGGTCGACGCCTTTCTCATCCGAGAGCCAGTAAACCGCCTCAGCAGACGAAGCAGTGAGGGTGGCAATAAGCGATTCCCGCCGTTTATGCTCCTCAGCGGGGGAATTCGCGAAGACCTCTCCCGCCGATCTGACTGTGTCGGCGAGAAAAAGCTGCTGGGAGTCATCGGCATCCGCAGGCTGGAACTTCGTCGGTGCGCCGTTTATCCCCGACGAAGCTTTGATACTATTCCCGCCGGGCTTCTCGGCCCGGTCGAGCATTATCACAGGGACTTGATGCGAGATGAGTTGCGTCGCTGCTGATAACCCGGCCAGTCCGGATCCAACCACGATCACGGGCTGGGTTTGGGTTAGTGGTGACGACAACGGGTATGGTGAGGTGGTCATTGTGGCGAAGAATCGGGGAATACTGTTTTGTATAGGGTGAAGTAGTAATTGGACTGGACGTAGATTCATATTCCAGTTGTCGAAACAGAGGGGGGTGGGGGGTTATTATAAACTGTGGTCGTGGCATACCTAAGATAATATACGATGCTGAGCTGGTTTGGGGAACACCAGAATCGTATGATATCAGAGAAATCATTCCACCTCCCCCCGCGGATCTCGTTTGTTCCGGGCCACCCATGGTTCTCCAGCATGTCACTCCATGTTTCGGGGTGAATTTTTTGTTGATTTATTTCACGTTTCAGGATAGTTATTTAATGTTGAACTACGGGGGAATCTTCTGTTCTGGTTGGCCTGAGGCATTCCATTTTAGGTCGTTCTCTTGCCCTAACTTCATCCCTAGGCTTCATATGATATCTCGTTACAACCGCCAGCTTGAATATTATCGATCCGAGTTGACCCAGCCAACCAGATAAATAAATAATTATCATGGATTGAATAAGCACTTTCTAGTAACTAACTATCCAGGGTCTGTCCATGAGTTTATACCCTAAGCTTCTCTAACGTAAGTGTTCATTGTCTCACGCCTTGGTGTTACCACACGCTGTATACCTAGCACTGCGATCAATATTTCTTCCGATAGTCGGCCTTCAACCCTAAATACGATCAAGAGAACTTACATTGACTATTTACCCTAGTCTTCATTCCCAGACACTGGAAATACGTAGGATATCACCAAAGTGTATGAAGAGAGTTGGATTGACTGCTCCGCAAGATAATGTCTGCTTTACTCGTTACCGAGAGAAACTCCATATGGCTGTACTACGCAACGACCTGCGAGTGGAGCTCGTAAGCGATCCAATCTCAAACCAGTCCGGAGTAAATACTAGTCCGGGCTTTCGTCTTTCTGGGCCCGTAATAGATATGTATGTCTGTATGTATGTACTTCCCCAACATGATGCGGTCTTTTCAAAAAGCGCCGTCCGGCTCCAATTTTCTGGTTGTCTGGCATCCCCCCCCCCTCTCTCTCTCACTTGTTGTATCTTACCAATCAAAACGCGACTCACTAGGAAGCTCATGAGGTCATTCACTGCGATCTACTGTGCTTCGTTCCCCCCTTGCTTGCTCAGTCTGCGAGTGCGATTGGGAACGACTGCCACGTTATCCATTGTGAGATCACGGGTATTGCAACGGCTTGATACGACGCTATCTCAACCGAGGAGTGCAGTTCGAGCTGGGGCGGATGTTAACCCGGTGGCCCTGAACATGAACGGCGATGCGGCACCGGAGAAGGACCAGGAGTCTCGCAGATATGACCAAGGGGGTTCCAGTTGTGAACGAATCTGGCGAATTGGTTGGCCTTATGGGTTCTTACAACTATTGTGAGCCGAGTTCGAAACGCGTCGTCCTGAGGTTAACAGTGACCCGCGGAGAGAAGCCGACTGGATCGCTGCCAATACTACTAGTATTGAATCGGATGGGCCAAGGACCCTTGTTCTACAAGGCAGAAAATTATAGAAAATTATAGGATGGCGATACCGTTACGAAACTAAGTATATCAAGAAGTATCTCTGGATATCCCTTTCCTTCGTGTCACTGCTATGCACACGCGTAATTTCCGTGGCGTCGCTCGTAACCGCCTACGCTTTTCTTTGAAACCAAATCTTCTCGCCATTCATTTCCGCTTCGAAATCTATTCCCACCTCGCTCACTACACCATCTATACCGATCCTAAACTCCGCTCGCACCCTTTCATGATCGCGAGGGTCCTGGCTCCTCTCCCCCAGCGTCGCCAGCCAGAACTCCCCACTGACATGCTCCATTGCAATCACCATCGGCACCTCACACGTCAGTCGATCCGCAACGAGGCCCAAACCACCTATATCCACACTGAGCTCCAGCCTACCATACCCCGGATGCTCGTACAGGCCCGCATACTCCCGTATTCCGAGTGCAGGCGGTATTAGTACGGCAGGCAACTCAGAGTATAAAAGGTCCTTCGCGTGCGCCTGCTTCTCCCTCCAAATGACAATTCTCGCGGAAATCTGCCGTTGCCAGTCCACTCGATCCTGTGATGGGATTCCCAGTACCTCATCCAGTAGATGCATATACAGTACCACCTGCACGATGTTACTCGTCAGCGTAGTATTCCCCGCCATGACCAAACCCCACTGCCGCCGTGGAAGATACATCATTGTGGATCCATAACCAGCAACACTACCGTCGTGCCAGATGATATCCTCTCCATGGTAGGTATCCCGTGTCCAGCCAAGTGCATAGAGATGCGTACCGGGGAACAAGTTCGTTGTGTCCTCAGCAATGATAGTCCGCGGTTGTATGAGCGCTCTGTGAGCATTTTCGCTCAGCGGCCCGCTGCATGTCATCATGCATTGAATCCACCGTGCATAGTCGACTACACTACTAATTATGGCGCCGGCACCATATCCGCCGATGATGTCAGGGCATGGCTCGGGGGTATACTCGCTTTTGTTTGCATCCCAGGTGTATCCCTGTGCCAGGGTGTTGTCGCCAGCCTGCGCATCTTCGCGCGTCCAGTAAGTGCTGGTCATGTGGAGGGGTGTCCACACGCAATGAAGCAGGAATGCTCCGAGGTTCTCCCCCGTGAGGGCCTCAATGGCATGGGCGACCGCCGTGTACATGAGATTGTTATACATGTATTTCGTGCGCAGCTCAGCTGTAGCTGGGAGATGTCGCAAGACGCGGACGGTATCTTTGATGCTGCGGGGCGATGATCCCGTTCCACCGTAGTGGCGGATATGATCGGGTACGCCGGTGCGGTGGGAGAGAGCGTCTTCGATGGTGATGTGTGCGGTGGTGTATTCATCCTCGAGGACGAAATCATCAGGGATAATGGATGCCAGGGGCGTCCTCCAGTGGATCTGACCTGCTTCCTGGTTCTTGCTATCGTCGATAACCAGGGACATGGCCGCCGCGGTGAAGGCCTTGGTCGTACTGGCCATGTGAAATAGGGTATCGGGCGTGCATTTGGTATCGGGATACACAGCGATGCCGTATCCCTGCAGGTGAGTTAAGACAATGTTCAAGTGCTGTCAGGAAGGGGTGTAGACTTTAGAGAAGGTCTTAGATCCGTCAATCACTGCGAGTGACATGCCTGGGACGTGCCATTCCTTCAAGAGGGCGCGAACCCAAGCGTCGAATTCGGGGGTCAGAGGAGAGTGCATTATTGCGGATCAGGTTTGCGAAATTATCATGCTTCTCTCGAAGGTGAAGGTGGGGTTCAGCGTTGGGAGGATTAGCCTAGGGAGAATAATCCTTGCTAGTGTGGGATGAGGTTGACCGTAGGGTAAAGATTTCCGTGCTGTTGCTTGGAATATTACATTCTCAAGCACAAAGTAGCCCTCAAAGGAATACTTTTTATATACATCGTTCAGGGGACTTTCAAGTTGCCTGCGACTTGAGATAGTTAGTAGGTCTTTTTCACGTATTGGATAAGCAAGCATACCATGCAGTTCCTTTATCAGCGTCTGCATAACACTTATAGTCATTTGTTTCAGGTCTCCTTAGAGGATGCACATCATCCAGGCAGCTAGTCTCGTTGTCCTATGATGTGCTAATGAGACACCATCAACGTGGTAGATGCTACTAAGTATAACTAGTAGTATGAAGTGTCCCTGTTCCTTAGGTGGCCGATATGGACCTAACTCGCTTCGGTTTAGCTCCGAAGTGCTTTCCGAATTCGGTAAGATCGTATTCGGGTCCATCCGTATTGAACGGACCAATCCAAGCCCTAGCTTACATCTAAAAGCCTCCACGTTGTGGCTGATGCTGGCCCTGTCCGACGAGCATACCCAATTCAGCTGCATGTCAATTGCTGCCTCGTATTTCTCCACTGGTATATAAACAGAATGGTCGTCCCCTTTCTCGCTGGATTCCCTCCAGCAATCCATCGCGTTTTATTCTATTGAAGTTACGGCCTTGCCGAAATGTTTCTAGCCGCAAAATATATACATCGAAAGATCAAAGCCAGGAATCAGGATCCAAGCCAGGATCCCCCAAAGCCTGTGACAGAGAAAAAACCTTGCCCACACTCGCGGCCTTTCCAGGTTGAACTTAGGACCAGAGCGTCTGGTGAGAATCCTCGGACTTCTCAAGGTACAACGGCGTCAACCATCGAAGAGGAGAGAGTGCTAGTACCTCCAGACTTGCCAAAGAGCGACGAAAAGTGTCAAGTTTGCAAGAAACAGAAGCATGATGCTCGCGTCTATCGATGGAAACTCATTGCGGGTCTGTGTCTGCCGTTTATACTCGCAACCTTGGACCTGACAATCGTCGCTACGGCGTTGCCATCGATAGCCTCCCATTTTAGTGAGTTTCTCTGTTCAATGTGGATCGTCTTGGATGGCTGACAGAAATTGTTACAGATGAGTTTGACGAGCTAAATTGGATTGTTACTGCCTTTACATTAACATCAACCACCTTCATTCCCATGTTCGGCCAATTCGCCGATGTCTTCGGGCGTGGCGAGACTCTCCATCTCTCTTTGTTTTTGATGATTATTGGAAGTGTCCTGTGTGCGGCTGCACAGACATGGGGAATGCTCCTACTAGGAAGAGCCTTGCAAGGCGTGAGCGACGCCGGCCTGATGAACGTTGTTATGATTATCCTCTCAGACAAGGTGTCTCTGAAGGAAAGCGCAAAGACTAAATCCCTTTTTAGCCTTGTTGGGGGTATAGGCTACGCTGTCGGACCAACTGTCGGAGGGTAAGATATTCCAGCACTCCAGATTCTAATAGGAATTTGCTGACAGTTACTAGGTATCTAACAGATGTAAGACCCTTACGTATGTGGTTCATATCATGCACTGGTAACTAATTGGGTCAGGCCAACTGGAGATACTGCTTTGTAATATCCATCCCTGTACGTTTGACCGTCTTGCTGCAAGACACAATTACTGATTTGAATAGATCGCTGTTATCGCCCATATACTAGTCTTTATCTTGTTGCGGAATGAACTCGTCGAAGGCACAATGTTCAAGAAGGGCTCTCGACTGTCAGGGATTCTGCCAGCTCTCGCAACTGTCGATATTATTGGTTCCATCCTCTTCATCTTCGGTGTAGGACTTATCATCCTAGCCACTGCGTGGGGTGGAGCTACTTACCCCTGGTCAGCGCCTCAGGTTATCGCACCATTGGTGGTGGGCAGTGTTTGCTTCATTTTATTTTTCGTCTACGAATATTTCCTCGAGCCAGGTCAGATATTCGCTCGAATCTTTCCAAAGCAAGTGGCCATGCTCCCGTACAGCATGTTTGCCAGAAGAGACACGATTTGGCTGGCGATTCTGCAGTTCTCTACTGGAGCAGGTAACCTTCTTCATCAGCCTTAAATTGCCGGCAAATATACTGATATCTGCAGCAATGTATTCCGTTTTCTACTACATCGGAATCTACTTCTCCCTGGTAGAGGCATATCCAGCCTCAAAAGCAGGCGTGCAGTTACTATACTACATCCCCGGAATGGGAGGTATGTACCTGCTGCCCCCCCCTAGATCCATTTCCCACCAACTGACTCAACCGCTCCAATAGTTGGTGTCTACATCGCCATTTTCCTCTGCAACGTCTGGCCAGCCCAAAGCTTCTTCCCTCTTAACATCGGCACAATCATCAGCACCGTCGGCCTCGCCATGGTAGTATACGCCATCCACACACAGAACACCAGCCTAATCAACGGTATGATGGCAATAACCGGCGCGGGAACAGGGCTCCGCTTCATGCCCGCCACGTTGCACATGGTGGGCGTATGGCCGGAGAAGATCGCGCCCGCACAGTCATTGATGCGATTCGCGCAGCCATTCGGCGGTACTCTCTGTCTGACTATCATGGGCAGTGTTTTCAATAACAAATTCGCCCAGTCGTCGAGTGTTTCTGGGGGCACCGGTGGGGATCTTGATGTCCATGATACGAACTCTTTGGCGTTTATTGCGGACTTGCCGGCTGATGCGCAGATGAGTGTGAGGATGGCTGGGAAGGATGCTATTATGTGGGCTTTTGTCTCTGTTTTGCCGATCATGGGGCTTAGTCTTATCACTGGGCTGTTTATCGGTAATGTGTGGATCAAGCCCAAGCCAAAGAAGGATGAGGAGCAGCGGAATGCGTCCGAGGATGAGAGCAGTCACAGTGAAGTGATCTATGTGCCCTACCTGTGGGCGTTGTTAAAGGTATTTGCCCTTACCCTTCCTCGTACACCCATAGTTTCTCTTTAGCCAGCACTAACACTCTCCAGGGCAACATCGACTCATACAAAAAGACCAACATGATATCGCCAGAAAGCAACAGCAAGTCCGCCGGTTTCAATAATTCATAAGACCCACACATCCAAGATACCAAATAGACATAATATAGACAAATAGTCGCATAATAGAACACATTCTACTACTAAATGGGAGCACACCACCTGGCAAGCCCCCTTATTAGTCCCCCACCCACAAACAGTCCCAAAAAATCACCTCAAAACACCCCCTACACCAGCCCACCCAAGCACAAACCCAGACAGCGCCTCCCCAAACACACCACCCCCAAGCCACACATCCCTCCACGAGTCCTTCCTCCTCATCTCCCTCCCAGAAGCCCACACCATGCCCTTGTCATCAATCCCTTCGATCTCGCCCATGTTCGGCCCGGGGAAGAACACGCCCGCACCTTGGCCCTTCGAGCGCTGCAGCAGGAAGACATGAAAAACACCAGACACGAGAACCGTCCCGGCCAGGTAGAATAGGAATCCCGTCGCGGACTGCAGGGCAAGGATACCTGCCGTTAGACCCAGGAGGAAGGAGGTGATGGAGTGGAGGTTTGAGAGGATCTATTTGGTATTATTAGCTAGCTAGCTCTTCCTTTCTGTCTCTCTTTCTCTCTATCGGGGTATATCCATCTGTCGGCCTCGACATCTCAGGGAACAACGTACGCGGTTATTATGCTGCACCGACTCCGGGACTAGAGGATTGATCAAAAGGGAGATTTCCTGTTTTGTTGGCGGCATCTTCGGTCCTCGTTTTTCTTTTCAATGGGGTGGTGTTACGTGACGGAGTGCGGTTTTGTCTTCTTCGGAGCTCTTTGAAGTGAAGGCTAGCTGGACACACCCTGGTTCAAGATGGGAGTTGGTTCAATTAGCCGATACTTAATCGCAATCGTGAGAATTGAGGCTCGGGATCATCGCGGCAGTGCTGATGATGTCGCGAGTTGGGGTGCATTCTGCTGCTTGGTTCCGCTTTTGGTGGGTCTGGGGCTGCTTAGTCATTATCCTTTTTTTTTGGGGTGGGTGCCTTAGGCTTGTTAGGGCTTTTGTAGGATGTAAGAATTGTAGATCCGTGTTGAAGGTATCACTTTTTCCTTGCAGATGTTTGTCCTGTTAGTGTTATATCAGCTGAGCTATAGAAAAGATATGTAAATAAGTAATAAAACTAGTGTCTTCAATTACTAGCCCAGTAGCTAACTATCACCTCAACTATCAACCCTCAGACTAAATCTCCAAATTGTGCACCCCCCCCCCCCAATTTACTACACCAAGATGCAAGTCACACCTGCCGAGGTATCAATCACAGACTGCAATCAACCTTACCACAGCACTGATTCTTCCCACTCTTCCAGATACAGTTATTGGCAGGTGCCTTAATATCACACGGGATCTCCGTGAGATCGAAAGCCGTGCACATCTGCGGATCCTGCGAAAAGAAGGTAATCGCGGGAGTCAGAGAAGGACAAGCGGGACCGACACCCCACTCGACGCCTCCGAGACAGTACTTTCCGCATGGCCACTTGCTCAAAGAGAATTTGCCGGCTAAAGCGAAGTCCTTGGTCTTGCCGATGTGGGCACCGTCCTTTGCGTTGTTGAGCCATTGGCCCTTGTTTGCGCCGGTTTTGACGTCGCCGTACAGGTCTCGGATGTAAACTCCATCCTGGGGGTTGACGGGGAGATTGCCTTCACATTTCTCGTCGAGACAGAGCTGGAATTTACCGTAGTGGAAGTTCATGTCGTCGGGTTTGGCGTAGTAGATCCCGTCGGCGCCGGAGCCGAGGGTGTTGCCGTTGGGCGCGGTGAAGGTGTAGCATTTTCCTAGAGAAGGGGCACTATGAGTAGATGATCAACGTGAGAATGTGGGGAGTAATAGAAGCTTACCAGAGGTTAATCCGGAGGTGCAGACTTGCTCATGGCAGGCCCCGTCTGGACCTTCGACTGTGTCTTTGGGACAGACACACTTGCCGTCGACAAGGACTTTGCCATTCTGGCATACCGGCTTGCAGATCAGGCCGTCATAGATCTGTCCAGTTGGGCAGCATCTGTAGCCAACTTCGCCGGAGCCAGCAAGGTCATGGCCTTCGGCACAGCAGTCGAAAGCTGTCTCGGGGCTACCAAGAAGGTTCAGTCCCTTTAAGCAGCAGGCAAAGTATTTCTTGTCGCCGGTGAGAGTGGGAACGGTACCCGGCGCGGCACAGGTCTTGCTTGTTCTGCATGTAAACCCGGGATCACAGTCAGGGTCATCGTACTCGATCGTGTTGTCGGTGATGACCACATCAGGGCCAACTTCGAATGTTGGGACATTCTTCTTGTACGCCTTGGCCTGAATGGAGGAGGCCTGGAACAGGAGGACCAGCAAGCTGAGTTGAGAGGGCTTCATTTTGAAGAACTAAGAGTGATAGTGCTGATGAAACTGTGTTTAAGATGATGGTTGGAGCTCTGGGACTGACTGAGCTGGACTCGTCGCTCTTTTTATAGGTTTGAGCAACTCGCTATTTGGAATTGTTGTGAGCAGGACGTCCCCCAGGCCATACTCTCAGCTCCACATCATCTCGCCCCTTCAGCTGTGAAGGTGACAGGATGCAGCTGTTCATGAGAGGGTCAGCTGGAAAGGCCTTGTTATGCTCAGTGTGTCGTCCCTAGTATGATGCTAGATGCCTTTGAATAGAACCAATCGAGGGCGCCACTAGCTAGACGACCGCAGGGTCTTTTGCTTCATTCAGTCAGCCACTGTTGGCTATTTGTCACTATCACAGGGGTGAGTACTTGATGAGGAGAACAGGGGCATTCGGATACCGGTCCGACTAAGATCTCCGTTTAACCCGAGGGACTCTCAAGAGTTCCAGACCGATCCAAGGCTCTCCACTCCGCCTAGAAGGATCGAGTTGCTACACAGAACGCATCGTGCTCTTTACTGTAGTGTCCAGTATCTGGAATCTCATCTCCCCATAGTGCAAGGACGGGACCTTTGATTGCCAGAATGTCAGGAGCAGCCAGTAGCCCCAACGTTTCCCTTAGAAGTAGAAGGTATGACAAGAACGGTATGCTTCACAAACCAAGTGAACCCTGTCTTACTCCCACGCTAGTAGAAGTGACACAACCACAAGCATAAATGCGAAGCACCAAATGTAAAGCACAGTCCAATGAGAAGCCCGATGTCACAGCACATGAACAGGTTCAGCTTACTAGTAGCTGCGAACCCATATTGCGTACTTCGGCAGGAACGGACCGTTAGTTAACTGGCTGCAACTGGAACATGGCTGCAGAGTGCTTCGGCAATCGCCGTATGTACCCCAGACAGTCTATTCTTCGGGGAAGTGGGAGTGGGACCCTTTCAAATCCCGCAAGCCACGAATTGATTGAATGGTCTTGAGGGACGACTTCTGCAAGCTGTAGATCCCGCTTACGCGGCGAGATCCCTGCAGAAGTCCGAAATGGTGGAGTTAGCGAAGACACTATTTCCAGCCATCGTTGGGCACCTGAGACATTACCGCTACAGTCGTGTGAGGCTGGCTGAGGTGTCGGACGCTCCGAATTTGACTGTTCATCTGGTTATTATGGCTCGGGTTTTTCGTATGCGGTGACTATGCCCTAATTCAGTGTCAAGTCGCAGTGACGACGGTTACTTGTTATCCTAACGGTTTCACTAAAAAAGAAGTACAACGTGATTATGCAAGTTCACGATAGTTATCTTTAGATTCAAGCATGGAATTATATTTGCTAGTGATTCGTTACTGTATTCCGACGATATATGCCGCTTCGAAGTTTGAACGCAATGTCCGACGGGAGAGATAAATGTGCACAATATCGAGAAACAAGTGACGATAAGACGCTGCTTTTGGACCTTCGAATACGTTACACATAGGTACTTGGTAAATCGACCTAATCGTGAAGCAAAAATAAGCCCTAGTGCTAATCTGATCACTTGCACATACGCATCCTGGCTACCTAACCACCCCGCCAACCTATCATGTTCTTCGGCCGTATGGCTCCTTGCGCGAAAAGAACCATATTCTAGACTCTTATCTTCTATACAATTGGAATATGCACTTACTTCACACTTCGTATCAAGCTGCCGTGTAGCTAATGCTGATGGCGTTGCCCATATCTAGATTGATACGTGCTGTAGGGATAAATCGAACAAGGCTGACCTGACAGAGATGGTCATTGCAATTCACTCTATGTACCAGTGGTACGGTGTGGCCAGCAGATGCTATGCTTATTTGGCAGATATTGTGCCCAAAGAGAATATGGAGAATGTCAGTGTGGCGCAGCGAATGGCCTGGGCTGCTGGAAGGAGGACTAGTACTAGGGTAGAAGTATGCGTAGCTGTCGGGTCAGGGTAGGGCTATGTGTTTGCTCGGAGTGATCTGAAGGACGAAAAGAATGAATTGGAGGAAAAGAAAGTGATCCATATGTGATATTGTTTCTATTTGCTCAGGTAGATATGATCAAGACATGATAAGTGCAGGTATGGAATCACTTCACTCCGTATAGATGGTGGTCGTTAATTAATCAGTAATATACTTAACATAACATCAAAGCTTCAAGCCAATCAGTCAAGCCTCATTCTTGTCATAAACCATTTTCCTGGCCTCGTTCCATCTGGGACACAACCGGGTCTCCCATCGGCGTCAAGGGTTCGGGAACTGTTGAAGGCATCCCAATAGCCAAATCCATCAAAACAAATACATACAGAGTTTCAGTCACTCATCCAACGTGGGATCAGACAACGTCTCGAATCGATTATTACACAACGCTCCTCCCCAAAGGGTCATCCAATGAATTGCTCATGGATATAATCGGATCCTGCCACTTATGCCCAATTTCAATCTAATCAAATTAATGCAATGGAGAGAATGTTAGAAAGAAAAAAAAGAAGGAAAAACCAAGACAGAGGATCAGGACGTCCTCCGTCAGATAATGTTGTCAAGCTTGCCATCAGACTTGGCTTCCCTGACCTGTTCGAAAACCTGTGGTTCCGTTAGAATCTCCAGTTTACCATACTACATCTGGCGATAAACTCACCTTGAGCATCTTGTTCCTGGCACCGAGAGCATTAACGCCACGCTCCTCCAGAGCTTTGTCGTTAAGCTCAACGAGCTCAGTCCACTTCAGATCCTTCAAGTTTTCTGTATACTTATGCAAACGCAGAGACCTCAGCCAGCTGGGAATGTCCTTCAACAGAGCAGGGTCGGTGGGATCCTCTGGCGGCTTCGAGCTACCACGACGGCCTCGTGGCGAGCGGCCGCGAGTGACCTCCGAGTGATCCGAGAGATAGCCTTCATGACCGCCGAGGCTAAACTGTCCAATGCCAAGCGCACCCAGTCCATTGCCCATGAGAGGGTTATTCGGGTCATACGCCGCCAGAAATCCGTTGTTCTGAGGCGAAGTGAATCCCATTGGACCGAGAGCGCCTCCTTGCATAGCAATTCCAGGGGAAGTTGGGCGAGAACGCCGACCCGCCATAGCAGCCTGCTGCTGCGCCTGGAGCGCTGCCAGCTGTTGTGCGTTCAAAAGTTGTCCAGCAACAAGGTGGTTGGGGCCTGGAAGACCCGGGCTTGCGAGGCCGCCTTGAGGCATGTTCTGGTTGGTGTTGTTGTTGGCGTTAGCATTCTTTCCTTGTCCGTCGTTGGAACGAGCACGACGATATTTACGAGCATCGTCAAGCGCAATACGGTTGTTCACAGTCGACAGAGCAGCCAGCTTCATCGCCGTCGCATTGGCCACCATATCAGCCTGCGAGTTTTGCTGCTGCTGCTGCTGCGCGAAAGTAGCCGTCATTGGAGTGTTGGTCATGGAAGCCCAGCTGGCATTACCAACATTGTATGGCGACAAAAGAGGGGCCTCGATTTCGGGCGCAGGAATCGTAGCAGTCTGCGGGAGGGGAGAGCGGAGGCCAGAAGACGCCTGACTGAACTGCCCCATGGGCTGGTGACCAGAGGACGACTTGGGTCGAGCAATTGGCGGCTGACTATCAGGGCCCCTTTGGGCCCATGGAGATACAGGGGGCTGACCTAGGTTGTCCGTATTGTTGTCCGGAGCGGAGATGGTAGGTGCAACGAATGAAGTCCGATCGCCGAATACAGCACTGTTACGGTTTGAAGGGGGAGCGTTGCCGGTCTGCTGGGTGAACTCGGCCTTCTTCTTCGCAATGGCTGCAGCGGCGTCCGGGAACATGGCATTAATGGTCGAGGAGTCCAGCCCCGAGTTGCGCTTGGCACCTGGAGAGGGCGGGGGACGACCCAAAGAGTTCCGAGAGCTGTCCACGTTCAATTTGGACATAGCGTCATTCAGGCGGTTAGACATAGCATCTAGTCGGAACACGTTAGTGAAAGAACAAAGCATCCTTAGGACCACCAAATAGTCAACTTACCCTTTTCTCCGAAGTTCGCAGGTGACAGCAATCCCGACATGGGGTGACTCTTGGCCATTTGCTGCAAAACCTGGATAAAGAAACGGATCTGCACCTGAGTCGTTTGCTGAAGCAGAGCATACAGTGCGGCAGTGCGTTCCGCCTCGCTGAGGACACGGAACCACTGTTCGATCGCACTGAGCTCATCCTTGAAATCCTGATCAAGCGTTGCAGCGGCCATTTCTTCTAGCGTGGTTTCGTACTGATCGATATCCGCAAGCCACTGTTGGGCCGCACGATCCAGAGGGTCCTCTGCATTGTTCGACGCTTGAGACTGCTGATTGAAGTACACCTCCGATGCCGGACGGATGCTGCGGGACGACAAGGGGGACGGAAATCCCGACATATCGGCCGACGCTCGAAGCTGATGCGAGCCTAGGTTACGGGACGACGACGGGGGCCGGAGAGTGGATTTGGAAGCGTCCGGGGTGCTATTGCGATTGCCGATGATGTGACTGGCCATGGAGCAAGGAATGACGGTGGTGTCGATCAAGGAAAAGCCGGTTACTGGCTTCTCTTTCTTTTGCCTTCAATTTCGATGTATAACAAATACAGAGAGAAGAAGATGAAGATATTACTGCAAAACACCTGCAGCACCTGCTGAGTTTGCGTAGTATTGAGAGCTTTGATCGAGAGGGAGGGGCTCTAGATTGACAGTCGCACGGCCGTTAAAAAAAACCGGTTTTGGCCGATGAATTTTCGCACAATCTCTCTAAGGACGGAGACGGTCTTATTCTTTTCTGAAGAGTGAGAAACTCAACCACAATTGACTTTAAGCGACGACGATCGAGGCACAGACCAGTCCAGTGGCTGCACTACGGGATTCGAGTTCTGAGGAAGGATTCGAATCGAAAGAGCATCAAAGGATTTTTGTCGTAAGGGTGAGAAACGTTCGGTGGGTTCGCGGAGTGGGCAAAGCGGAGCGTTTAACGGGTATAAATTAGGAAGTGTGGGCTTTTTTTTCCTTTCTTTTTTTGGGGTTTCTTTTTTCTTTAAACGAAAGGATGTCAGGATCAACTGCAATAGTGTGTCAAACACAACAAGCAGAATACCTAGAGCATCAAAAGAGAAGAGAAAAAAAAGGAAGGTGAGAAAAGAGACAGGAGGAGGATTAAAGGGAAAGGTAGCGATGAGGATGGGGGGGAACAAGAATGAAGAAGATTGAGAAGAGGAACGGAGAAGGCAAAGAAGCGAGAAGAAGTCAATGAAACGGCGCTTTGCCGTTTGGGCGCGGCCGGAGGTCACTGGACTTCCCGAAGGAGAAAAGACTCTCCAGTCTCCCTCCATCAAAAACTCCAATTCCATCTTCTCGGTTGCTTCTAAGGACTCCACTGGCAAGGGTTCTTTATTCGCACGACACTCTTAGTTCGTCTTTCTTTACCCTGCTCCGATTGCTCGAGTCCAAGTCCGACTCCATTTAGTCAAAGGCGACCTTGTCCGCGTCTGCACAGACTGCTCTAGCCTCTAGCCTCTCTCTGCGCCGGTTGGTCTTGGCTTAGCGTTGACTGGCGCTTAATTATTGCTATGAAGAAAATAATTTTGCGCATCTGATATCTCTCTTTCTTTTCTTCTTTGGCTTTACATTATATCCCTCTTTTATTTATTTATTTTTGTATTTATATTCCTCCACATCTCCCCATCTCAGTTCGAGTAGAAGGGCCGAACGATCTATATCATACTCGACACGCTCGCATAAAGGTGGACACAACCGTTGCATTCTTCATTCTGGTTCGCTGAGCCAGTCAGCTATGATCGGCCTTCGTCCTCGGCATCTTTAAGTTCCACGCCCCAAACTATCGTCGTATTATTTTTCAGACGGTGCCGCACAATTTTTGTGCAACCAGTCGCTCTACTACTATTTGTTCGTGGGAGTGCGTTGGGATTCTCAAGAGAATCCACTGCTTTTTTATGGGCAATTGGCCACGAAAAGTGTTGAACAAGACAAGAGACCCTGGTGGATAGCCAGATACCCAAATTGTAACAATGGATAATCCTAACCAGCTCAATCACAATACCCAAGCCGGGGAGGTCGCGTACCCTGATATTGACGAGACGATACATTACCCGTGGCAGGGACCCCAGCAAACGGCCCAGCCCGACCCTATTCATTCAGTGCTGGACCCCCGTTTGTATAAGGATTTGTTCCCCAGCAATGCCTCAGAGTTACCAGGGGAAATACCGCTCGATGAAGATGAGGATGCCGAAGAATATGCTGAAATTGATGACTCTGCGGAGGATTCTACCTATGAGTTCTCCCCAGAAGAAAGCTCGACGTCAGTATAAACCACGGCTGTTGTTGTTTTGTTTGTCGCCTACTGTTTGGAAACTAACCTTGGATATAGCGATGAGGAGCTGACTGATGAGGGGGAAGGCGGTGATGATGATTCGTATTCTCGTCGAAGGAGACGCCGCAGAGGCACAGGGCCCTTCTCTGGTCGTTTCGGTGCGCGCGGTGGTAAAGGAATCAAACGTGGACCTCGCAAACCATTAGAGCCTAGCCCCGAGTTCAAGATACTGCACTCGGAGGCTACATCGGCCTTTATTGATGGTGATTATGACCGTGCTATTGAGTTGGTAAAACAGGCAATTCAGATCAACCCGGAGATGTTTGCTGCCCATTCTCTCTTGTCAGAGATTTTGTTAGCACAGGGCCACAAAGACAAAGCATTGACGGCTTTGTTTAGCGGTGCACATACGCGCCCGAAAGATCCGACGGTTTGGGCCAAAGTGGCACGGATGATCCTGGAGCGGGCTGGAGAGGATCGCCAAAGCGCGCTGAACGATGTTGTTTACTGTTATAGCCGTGTCATTGATATCAACCCAAAAAACTACAATGTACGCTTCCAAAGAGCCGCCATTTACCGGGAATTAGGATATAACGGGCGGGCTGCGACGGAGTATGAGCGGATTCTCAAGGATTTACCGCATAATGCTAGGGCTCTGCGACATATTGCGGAGATCTATATTGACCTGAACGATGTCCAGAGGGCAGTTGATCACTGGGCAGACAGCGTGGAATATTTTCTATCTCTTGACCCAGACGAAGCCCCCGAGTTTTCTTGGTCGGATGTGAATATCTATGCTGAGCTTTATGGCTACTTAAACAAACCCGAAAAGGGGCACTGGGCCCTGAAGACACTCTCTAGGTGGCTCCTTGGCCGCAAAAATGACACGATGTGGGAAGACTTTGATGAGGACGATCGCGAATGGGATGCCAGTGATTCGCCTCGGCGCATCAAAGCTGACGGTTATGAACCAGGACGATGGCCACGAGACTCTTATGGGCTGGGTCTTCCTCTAGAGCTCCGCATTAAACTTGGCCTTTTCCGTCTGAGAATGGGGTATCAACATAAGGGTGAAGCTTTGGTGAGTGGCCTATATAAACGGAATTGTTAGCATGGATCTTGTTCCTGACACAAGCTTACAGCATCACTTCGGGTGGCTCAACCCAGACGACACATCCGAAGGAGCTCGGCTCTATGATTACGGGGATCTCTTCCGGGAGGTTGCCGACGCACTCAAGGAAGTAGGACTATTCGACGACGCACTCCGGTTCTACATGCCACTTCAGCAAACGGAAGAGTATGCAGATGTTAGTTTCTTCATGGCAGTGGGAGATTGCTTTCGGCATCTGGACAAGCTCGAAGACGCCGAAAATTGCTATCTTACAGTCGCGGAGCATGATGCAAGAAATATAGAATCCCGTGTACAGCTGGCGAAGTTATATGAGGCCATTGGCATGACCGAGCAGGCACTCAAGTATGTTAACGAAGCCGTTCTACTTGGGAGGCAAGAAACCAGGGGAAATCGGCGACGAAAGGATACAAGGCTTGAGCAGCTAGTAATGGAGTTTAAGTTAGCTGAAGGCGAAATTGTGGCGCCCGGCTTGAGTTCAGCTGCACCAGATTCTGTAGGTAATGATGTGACAGCACCTTCACTTACCACTAAGTCTTCAGCTGTGCTCGGTCGAAAGGACTCCGTGGAGGCCGAAAATGAAAGGACAGAAAGCATCCAATTCCTCTATACCAAACTACAACAGCTGCAGTCGAGGGTCAAGGCAGGCGAGCTCGAAGCCACAGAGGATTGGCTAGATATTGCCGATGCACTGTTGCGCGAGTTTCGGTCTAATCGATTTTTTTATCCGCTACAGCGCAATGTCATGTTTCTTGGCTATTCACGAGAAGCCCAGAAAAAGGCTGGAAAGACTAAGGGTCAAACGATAATGGAAGAGATGCAGGAGATGGCTGGCCGTCTCCAGGAGTCTCTAGGTACGATTAAATAACTAAGTCGTGCATCTTTTGTGCCACTAACATCTGCGTAGGCACTGTCACCGAAGAACCTCTTCAAGGGGCTATACCGACTGACTATCATGGCATATCTTTTGATGAGTGGCTTGACCTGTTCCTCCAGTACGCCCTTGTTGTGGCAGGGCAGAGTGAACCAGAAGAAGCGTACGACTCACTTGCGGCAGCAGCAGATGCCAGCATTTGGTATCATTCCAAACCTAGCACTCGCCTGATCCACGTTTGCTGGTTCAGTGAGTACCCTTTGTGCCCGTGCTCGTTTCGTAGCTGACTTGATATAGCTTGTGCTCTTCGAGCGCAGGACGAAGAAACCCTTGCCAACGAGGCACGCTGGTTTATCAAGGAGTATCAGTTCGTAACCGACACGTATCGACTTTTTTCCATGCTGAGTCGCCTCTGTGGGGACCCCCACCGGTCTCTCTTCCATTCGTCAGCCAATATGAAATTCATGTTGCGACAGATCAAAGCTATGGACTACACGATTCCGGACGAGGCCCCGGGCTTGCGGTCGAGTAAGCCCGTGAGAGAATCAATTTATCAGGAGCGTGCACGTTTATCGACGCGTGATGAGAACGGAGAAGTTATTCCAGCAGAAGCTATGGACGTTGCTCTTCTGGTACTGTACGGGCATATACTTTATTCTGGTAACAGCTTTCTGCCGGCTTTGAATTACTTCTTCCGTGCGTATGCCTTGGACGACCAAAATGCCACGGTGCTTCTTTCGATCGCCCTCTGCTATATTCACCATGCCCTCAAACGTCAGTCTGAAAACCGACACTTCATGATCATGCAAGGACTTTCATTTATGGAGGAATATCGACGCGTGCGAGAGCGGCCAGGGAGTCTTCTACAGGAGCGACAGGAGATGGAGTTCAATTATGCCCGAGTATGGCACATGCTCGGCCTATCCAACTTGGCAGTAGAAGGCTACCAGCGTGTATTAGAACTGGGGAAGCAGATACAGGCCGAGAGTCGAGGCGCCGAGCCGGCGGTGCGAATCACCAGGCATGTGGATAACGATGTGGATATGAGAGATGCGGGATCCGACCAAGAACCTTTCGTCGAAGACTTCTCTCCTGAGGCCGCATTTGCCCTACAAACCCTCTATGCTCTGAGTGGGGATTTGAATTTGGCTAAGGATGTGACCGCGAATTGGTTAGTTATCTAACAGATTGCTGGAGAATTGATGAACGTATGCCTTGCATTTCCCAGTGACGCCATATTTGTAAAAATACCCACGGGGTAAATCACTCATGATCTTCAGATGCAGCAATCACAGAACAAAAACTAGAACGAAAAGCAAAGAGTTGAGGGCCCATAAAGTGTCGAGTTCGTGATGCACTCAATCCTTAGTCATCACGATCTGAACTCTGGTCACACGACCTCCTTCCTGGAAGTGGTCATTGATGTGGTCAAGTTATGGCCATCTCAAGTTCAATCGATTGTTAGATGGAATCCAATTTGCGAGGATAGTGTGAGCCTGGATTTGTTTCCCATCCCAGGGAATTCTATAGCAGTGGGGAAGAAATGAGATATATACATTGTTTTGCAGGACACCTGATCTGGCCATTCGTCCCTGTATTAACCCCACGCCTCCGTTCTCTGAGCTCTCTAGTGAGAACCAGACTGGTTGTTTCTCTGAGAACTCATACACGTGTACATCCGAGCCTCCCTTCGGGCCAGCCTTTTAGACAGGCACATGGTGTCGATAGTCACAGCGTTGAGTGTCGAGCGAGGGAGGAATCAACGACAAAAGCTGCACGAGCGAAGATATAATCATAATTGGGGTCTATGCAATGAAGACCGCGATTGACAGCAATGATCCAAACACAAGATCCCCTACCAAGGCGCATCATCCGCCGTCGCCATGCGAACAGTATCCGGATTAGCCTTGACGAAGTCAAGGATATCCCAGAAGGCATTCCTTGTGCGGGCTTCATCCTTGTAGTCATGTTTCTGATTCCCATAGATGATTCCGTCAATCTGAGCGACCTCCAGCAGATCGCTCACATATCTTGTATCCCCCTCTGTGCTCGTCCACGCGAAGACTTTCCCCAGCTGACCCCTCTCACGAGCTGAGCGGCCATTGCGCAACTCCGAACAAGTCATTCCCCCACGCTCATGGCAATCCCCGAAATCCTTCTGAATATTGACATGTCCATAGTCCATGACCCTCTGCCGCACCGGCAGAGACCGCGAAGTCGTAAAATACAGCTCAAAGACATTCCTGGCAGAGCCACTGAGAGAAATCGCTTCGTTCCCATTCAGCGAGTGCAGGATCTCCTTATAGCCCTGACTTTCTTCCGTTTGGTAGAAGCCATACAAGGCTCGGATGCCGACCGGCTCTAGCGTTTCGCGGACTAGATCACGCAGGGCCTGGATGGAGCATGGTTCGTAATGCAGGCATGCGTCGGGGTTCTTGATGTCCAGCCAGATGAAGGTGATGTTGGCGCCGTTCTTACGCTCCTCGGCGATGAATTGGAAGAGTTCGCGGGCGGAGTCGCCGGCGCTGTTTCTCTTGCAGTCGTGGTCGGCCCACCACTCGTCTGTGGCGTGAAGATCAACTTCTATTGCGTTGGCGCCGTGGGAGATCGCCGCCGTCACGGCTTCAGTTCGGAGAACTCGGTGTGCGATGGCGTAGATCGGTCGCGGGCCGCTGGCTAGAGCAGTCTGCACGGACGGGGCGGCCGCCGTAAGGCTGAGGAGGGACATCGTAGCCCACAACGTCCGTAAGAGAGAGGGCATCTTCGAATGGTATCTACTCATAGATTCCAATATACGATCGCAGAGGGCAATCCAGAGTCGAGTAACAGCAAGTGCAAAGCTGGAGACAGAATCAAAAAAAGCAGAATCACCGGTTCCTCGTCCGACAACTCAGCCCGGCGCACATATACTAGTCTATATGCTAGCCAGTTTCACCCTAGCAACAATGAAAAGAGCAATTATGCGACCATCATAATTCCCAGGCAATGAACATAGGGCTGTGTGCCAAGAACTCTCCTCCCCACTCCTTCCTTTGCCCTCTCGCATGCCGAGGATGGCTTTCTCCATCATGGGAAGACATTTCTCGAAGATCATTGCCTGCTCCGAAACCATTACTGATCGGACCAGGGCCCGGGAACCAACGGGACCTGAACGACGGATTTCGATTGGGCTCCCCTATCTTGGCGTGGTATTGGACACAACACACAACTCGCATTCTCCTCTCCTCTCGAGGTGGTCCTCCTGAGAACTCTTGGGTGGCAATGGGCAAAGGGCGCTAGAGTTGAGCCATTTTGTTTTGGTCCTCCGGAGATCCGGTGTTATTAAATTAGTTCCTTCACAGACTCCACTTCTGGTGCTATAGTAACCACTAGCCTAACCCGATCCCGAGCCCTAAGACAATGGCAGTCGGTACCGTGAGTTGGAGGGCTATACCCCCAGGAAGAATGATCCGGGACCCATACTCGACATGTGAAACATGAAATTATAGGAGAAATCAGATCCAAGGGGGAGGGGGAATGTGCTTGCTGTTTCAAGGCACACGTGTCGAGTAACGTAACTCGGTCCTAGTACTACCAGTGAATGATCGTGGACGAGGACTCCAGAGTAGTAACTATCGAGTATCCCCAATGACAAAGAACGCAAGATAGCGCCGCCAAGACACCGGACATACTTCCGACAGGGGGCTTCCAGAGAGACAGTCGACAGGGATGCCAAACGCTCTAGGGCATGGGTCATGGCGCCCATTCGAGGTCGCGTGCTCCTGTCTCGCTCCGGAGTGGCCTCTAGTCCCACTTATTCTGGGCAATTAGCTATATCCGGAACTCGGATATGTATATCTCTCATAATGCCGTTTCCCTTCCGGTGGTGGTACTATATAGCCTCAGCCCATGGGGGCCAAATCGCCATATGAAACGGCCTCTATAGGTATATGTATCGCCCGATTGCAGGCAGAATAATTCCTGACGGTGACGGTACTCGGAAAATTGCCAAAGGGCAAATGTTATACCTCAGAATACTATGCTACTGTCCATCCTCGACGGTTGTGCTCGGCGCTGACGTGTCTTCGTGATCAGGCCTCCCAATAGATGGGCTCAGGCGCACGTGAGATAAGGGTATAAGAGCTAGTAGTGCGAGCTTTGACTTCATTTGTCGAAGGAATTGCGCTATGGAGTCTTCTCGTTGGCTCTTGGAAATACCCCCTGTAAGAGAAGGCAAGTGAGCCGGTTAATTGTTAGACTATCTATCTATCTATCTATCCCCCTGCCTTGTCACACGACAATTACAAAGGACTCTGTGTCGTGCGGGCTATGAACCAATTGTCGAGCATAAATAGAGTTTGATACTTGCGTAGTGGAGATTTATCGATTTATGATTACGAGGCTGCATTGATATTACCGTAGAGCTGGCTCTCCCGAGATATATATTCCAAAGGCTCGCACCAAGAGAAGTACGATGGAATATAGTGAGGGCCACCTGTAGGATCAGGGTCGGGTGCCCTATCTTTGCATCTACGACGGCTTGAACTTATTCTACATCACATATACAAGTCTACAACCAGGAATACGATGGGTATATCAATTTCCACGAAGCGATTATGTCTCGCTGAAACGTTTTTAAGCATATCATCTAGGCAGTGACATAACCAATGCTTTCCGCAAAGTGACCTGGTGTTGCTTAGGTCGGAAGATTTAGTGTCACGACTTCTCCACATATCAATACGATAACCACTAAATCAAGCTAAAACACACAGAACCATGAACATGATGTAATTTGAATGATCTGCACGTCAGGTAATATCCTCCGTGCAAAGAAATTAGAATCGAGATCCAGTCGTTGAGGGATTTTTCTACCCAATAACGTCCCCAGCTGGATCGAAGCTTATCGAGGATAAGCTTATAAGTTAAATAGTCGAGTACCTCGAGGATGGGTCGTCTTTGCAACTTAATCTAGGCCGCTAAGACTTGATTTGACGAGATACGACGTGCTACTTACTGTGGGGATCTACTGGGTCTTGTTTCGTCTTGCAAATTTATCAACAAGGGTTGGTGTTGCAACTCTCCCTGACAAGTCGTGGGCGGGGGAGTCAGGGTTCAAATTAGGGTTAGGTACACTTTACGAGGTATCTCTTTTAGGCGAAGATGTGCAGGCAAGAATGTGTCATAAAACTAAGAGTAAATTATAATTGATTCAAGCACTGAACTGTAAAACCATGGGAATTCTCTATGATGCAGTATATGAAACTCAGGACCACACAGGAAGTTACCTATTCTCTGAGTCTTTGTCAGTTTCTGTGCTTCACTCGTACTATGAATGAAATGTATTGAATCGTGTTAGGGGCTATTTTGATCATGTCCCATTCCTTTATCGAAGGGAATATAGTGCTATAGTGACTCTAAATATCTCAGAAATGGAATATTTGATTCAGGATCATCATACCGATACTATATCTTTTCAGTTTCCCCCTTTCTCCGCCTCACAAACTCTCTATCTCTAGTTATATCTGCAGTTCTTACGTCCTCCTGGCCAGCCTCATGAAACATGATATACTCCTCCTTGAAGCCGAGAAACCTTCCAATGGAGGAATAAAGCAGTTGAGAAGAACTGGATGAGAGCATACAGCAAGCCAGCTATCAAATAGTCAGCGAGGGCGTATCCAGCATCTAGAGAAGAGTGCGAGAGAGATACTTGCATATGCATACAAAGACCTCAACCACTTCTCTGGTAGAATAACGGTTTGACGGCTGGTAGCATAGGCCTCAACCTGCAGGAATATGACTATATCTTAAAAAGCTTTGGCAGCTTGGGCACAACTATATTCGTCACAATCCAGATAGAGAGGGAAATATTGTATATTCAATGGCCAAAAATATACTCTGCCAAAGGCTCTCGCTCACCCACACGCGTCTTTCTATCTTAACTTACATGGCTATGTCGGTTGTCATCCAACCCACACACCCCTTTGGGCAGTGGCCATCAATATCCTGGCTAGGTTCGTCATATGAACCTTCAGCTAGACGGCTCACGAAATTGCTGCGCGATCCAGCGCCCATGATTCAATTATGAAATAGCTCGGCGTTCTCACGATACCCCAGTCACCTGGTGTGGTCATCAGCACTACTCTTACGCTGTAAGCATATTTGACATACCAGAAGAATGCTTTAAACCCAACCGGCTGAAGTCTGTGTCTCTGTGGGTACTGTGAGGACCCGGAAGAGTACATCGAAGACGTCAAGTACGCCGTGGATTATGACCGAGCTACGAAAGAACAGGTGGATATCGCTGATTAGGAAAAGGACCAGAGACTTTCATTCGGTGGTACTCTACGCGATGCATACAGTAACCAGGAGAAAGCCAATCAACCGCAATGTCCTGGTTAGTCCATATCTAAATTCCGGATTTGACGAAAGTTCTGGCACCGAGTGCGGAAAGTATGCACACTGGTATCTAGCTTATTAGCAGACTTTATTCTCGTGCTACTAGTGTTGGGATCTAGCGGTATGATGACGGCAAGAGGCGAAGACGAACAGACGGACTGTCCTCACGCTTTTAGTTTGAGAAAGATCTGAGGCTTGGATGGGATGTTGCTCATCGACTACCTCAGCGAGATCCCACCGTTTTGGGATAGACTTAGCACTCCGCCATCCTGAGCAAGAAGACAACGTCAGAGAGTCAGGGGATAGAGGGTATCACACCCGGCCGTTAGAAGGCTTGCCGGTGCCAGGGATGAACTAATTTTGCAAGGCTGCTAAACACCCTATGGTATGCAGATTTAAAGCGCAACGCCGAATAGGAGTGGTTTACCCTGCTGGATTCGGCTTTTACCAGGTAGACACACTGCCTACTGCACGACTGATGGTGTAGGTAGAGAAGCTCTCGTTCACATCAAGCTTTGTACGCCATTGGAAAACAGCGGCAATCTCCCTGAGCTCCCCCGAGAATACGGAAGTCAAGTTTCAAGTGATTCCAGAAGATCGCACCTATGAGGAGATAATACTCGTGACTCGAGCTGCCTACCTTGACTATCGTTGGGTTTTTGCCCATCGTAAGTCAGTGTGGATATCACTGGTGGTCAAATTTGAAGATAAGGCGTAACGACTCAGCGGTGTAAGTCATTCTAGAATCGCTTCATCGGACACCTTTCAAAGGGAGTTGTATTTCGCTAGTAGGATGTTGCCCTTTCGAGGTGTTTTATCTCATAGGAATATTATCGATACTTTTGCTGGCTGATTGCTGGGAGGTTTTTAGCGCAAGATGTGGCATGGTGCTCCTCTCGCTGCCTCTAAGCGCCATAGTCAGCAACAGCAGCAACGTCTTTCATGTCTCTCTGACCATCGATTCTCATTTTGAATGTAGCAGAAGTACGTTCCGAAAGAAGCGAACAGCAAGTGAATAACACGCATACAAGCCAATCTTAACAAGCTTAAACCCGCCCCTCAAATTGAAAGGGGAAATGAAGCTTGGATATACAATATCCGAGTACCCATATCCTCCCACAACATATTCAAAATCCCGGGGCTCCTAAATATACTAGGCCAACTGCATCACAAAAAGGAGCGATGTTGGGGGAAATCCTCAACCTTGAGACCAAGACATGTCGGCATGACTGGTCGTTGCTAGTGATAGAGGCTGGTGTATCGGAGTCAATGCCCCAACTAACCCAAGATGTCGCCTGGAGGATGTCCAATTTGGGTTCCCTCGGCAAAAACCTCCCGAAGTTCAACAGGGAGATCCATGGTAACTAATACTAGTACTTTAGTACC